TCCAACACCGTCAAGCCTGACTGTACAACAGTTCGTGACAGGACCGTGAATTGGCGTTAATTTCATCACCATCTCTCCTGGGTGCCGCGTAATTCGTTTCTGTTGTATAATTGGTGTTCAATGATGTTGTCGCTCCCTAGTCTGTAAAAGATAATCTCCAAGCAGATATCAAATTTTGGTGACTGCAAAGACAGTATCAAACTGGCCAGACAGTTACCAATTGCCACCCAAGGCTGGCGTAAAAAAGATATCAGTACAAAGAACGAGAGCCCGATAAAAACGCATTAAAAACGCCAATAATAATCCGAAGCCTAAACCTGTCTGCTTGAAGAGTATGTAAAATCCGACTCAACTAGGACGCAATCTGCACAATCCATTATTCTGCATAGATGAGGAATAAGATCCCTTCTGTCAGGAATTACTCATAAGAATGAAGAAAAGGGTTAAAGGACGAATTATATATTGCTGAGGTGGAGATTTCATATACACACTATATCGTTTTAATAGCTGCTTTTATATCCCTTAATAGAACTTATTTTCCCCTTTTATTTTGTACAGCGAACACGATAACCAGGTAGTAAAAAATAAGACAGTAACGATTTTTCAATCATCTCTTATGCAACTGTGAGCAGCAAAGTTATGCATCGTTAAAGGCAGCTGAAAGAACAAGATAAGATTATCATGACTCCTTCATGCAAAACTAAAGATACGGCCCAACCGGTAACATAGTTTAGATAAGTACACAAGGACATACATAAAGATACAGTTATCTTTGAACGGAGTTTGACATCTTGCAATCAGATAGCGTCAAGGTTATTGTACCTGCAGCATGAGTTGACTTTAGTTGAGTTTATTGAAATACCCTTTAGTATCCTATTATATTGAGGATAATTTTCTAGTCTCTACCAGACTCCTTTTCAATAAATAGTAGAACTCGGCCTATAAAGGAATGTAACTGGCCAGCTGGGGAGTTAGCCGATCATAGAGGGTCCAGTTTGCCTGACGTGCTACTAATCTTCCAGGGCTCGATAGGAAAAAGAGGACAGATACTAATACATAAAATAGATATAAACAGTAGTGTATAATATCACAAACGAATACAGTACAGCTTAACATACCAGTACAGACCTAAGGTTAGGAATTGAAGATTAAGAACGATGCTAAATGCCGCCAACTGTAGGCAGTAGACGTGGCAATGCCAGGACGATGGATGTCTAAGATTATGGATCGTCTTGCCCTTTTCAAGGGACGCAAGAAGCAGACTCTAAGATGGGAGGGTCTTCAATCTTCCCTGTTGTCCAGACAGGTGGAACTGATAGTGTATGGCCGCCCGTGTGACAGGGAAAGTAATCTCGATCTAGTTTTAGCTCACTGAAGTAATCTCCAAGCAGATGTTTTGATGGCTGCAAAATACAGGCCAGGCAGTATCCATTGGCAAATGGACACGGTACTGTTTGGTCAACGGATGCTGCCTTGGCTAATTTGATATTTTGCAGCCACCGAAACATCTGCTTGGAGAGTACACGGAAGAGATACTCTTACACTAGTAATTGCCGTGACAGAGAAGACAGACGCTATGTACAGTATTTACAGGTTCATTGTACCGGGGGAATTCCACTAGCTCCACAAGTACAATGAACAGTGGACTACAGCTTAATGTCCGGTCCTAGGGAATGCAACCCTTTACAGTAGCGTGCATGTTGGGTGAGCGACAACAGTGGATTCGAACTCCCAACCTCTTAATCCAGAGGCAAGGTCGATAAACACCAGACTACGTGCAGCAGGTCGTCTGTAGAAAGATAACGGTTGGGGAAATGGCAGGATTTTGCTGATGTATGCACTTACCGCACCGTCGGCCTAGGCAAGACCGTTACAGATAATTGAAGTTCTTAGTTGCAAGTTCATGCCCGAGGGCTAACTGCGAACTGACAAGTACAAGGGGTACAGAATGTATTGAAGAATGGTAAAAAAGCTTTGTTCTGATATAAAGTTCTACTTCTACTAATCTAACGTCCTATCTCTACTTAACACTAATAGCTTATGTATATGTGGGAGAGAGAGATGTGAAATACATTAGTAAGACTAAGTGTGACAAACTCGGTTTAGCGATAACCAGATCGGGTTTCCATCCAAAAGATTTACGAAAATTTCGCGTTTTTATGACAGATTACTGACATTAATCTACCAAAATCTAGTCTTTCTTTCAGTGACACAGTATGCGGATTTAGCTGTGTACATACAGCTTTGGTACTTAGCACACTTCCAACGGTGACAAGAAAGGCAGATCCAATCTTAAGCGAATTTCCGCCGGCTATTAAGGCAATGCATCTTATCTGTAAACAGTTACGACTTTCTTCTGAAGTTTTGAGATAAGGGTTAGTGGTTTAGCGGGTGTATTGAGCAGGGTTTTTAGTACAGCAGGCACGTCTGGCAGCATGCAGTCATAAAGAGAGTCTCACGGCGGTAAAATGCACAATATACACAACTGCTCTCAGGAGAAATCCTGTAAAAGGTTTGAGTAAAATTAAAATAGATGCGCGCCCACGTAAGGCTATGATCTCCTGCAGATTATGGTTTATTTTATATTTTAGTCCATAATATGTCGGCTTGCTATCAGCGATTTTGTGTTTTTAGTGTTTTCAAAAGACGAGATGACTTAATACGACGTGACAACGTGTAAGCCTGTATCCAGCAGTGAAAATTATTAATGGAACGGTGTTACTTTTGTTTTGTTTTAAGTAAGAGATATTAACGGGAGTACTTGCCGTTTGGGATTTGGCGCAGACATGTTGGAGCCTTGTAACGAGACAAAGTCCTCAGGCACCCATTCTCCTAGATGACTCGGGCTCCATTACGACTCTCGTAGACAGGTTTCAAAAGAGTTGTTCCATTTAGAAAGCTGGCGAGAGGGGAGGCTTTTCGGTATTCTCTTTGTTCGCCTGGAAAGCACACAGTTTTTAAAGTCATCCTCGAGGGGACACCTACGCACAGAAAGTGGCAACTTAGGACTCTCGGAATTCTCTCTTACTTTGCTGCTGTTCGAAGAGAGAAATAATTCATCCTGAAAGCTCATTTGTATTGGTACATTTCATGATTTGATTTGATTTATTGAAATTCTAATAATACAATGCACGTGGGACAAAGGCAGCTGTTGCTGGCGTTGTGTCCCACACACATAGAAACAAATACAGGGCAGACAATACTCATTTTCACTTGAGTTAAGTAAGAAACGTCGTGTTAAGTGCCTTCCCAAGGGCACAAGATCGGTGGCATGTCAGGACTCGAACCCGGGACCTCTTGGACCTACAAGATGAAGTTAATACCTTCGTTCAACACAATCAAACCGTTGTTTGCCACGCCTCGAGTTTTCAGTCGCACATCCGTCGACCTTCTTCAGGAGGGAAGTGATTCAATTGCTTTGAGCACTCCTATGCGACTGAAAACTCGAAGAAATAATTCAATTGTGACATGTACTGCTTTCGTTGAGTCAAATGCTCCCTACCCTACGTATCTTCCAAGACTGGTAGTAATATCAGAAAGGTCTTCTTGTCCCTTATTTATGCCAAAAGACATCCGCTACTTCTGGGTTCTCCGTTCGCATTGTAGGTTAACCGGGTAATCAGCACCAAGGACGGGTCTAACAGCGTCCTCAGATGTTTTCCGCTAGTTACATCACAAGGCGGCAAGCTACATAAGAACTCGCCTACCAAAGAACCAAATTTGCAGGCCCGAAAAGCAGCTAACATTCGCAACCGAGTTTCATGAACCATAGCACGTTCGACGTGTAATTCGATTTGGTGTGAGAGTTTGGCGTGGTTTGTATGTGTATATGTGGCAAGAAACTGGACATAAAAGTTTGGAAGTTTTAAACTTTCTGAAGAGCCCCTTGTTGTCCATATGTTCGATGTTTCGACATCCTTTCAATGTTATGTCTTTGTAGTTAACTCTTTGTCTTGTATGTGTATGGAAAGAAATTGGACATATGAGTTTTTAAGTTTCCGAAGTACCCATTGTTTTCAATGTCCAATAACTGACCACTACCTTTGTCTTCTCATGATCCTCCTTGTCTTGTCTTGTCACATCTCCACCCCGCTCTTTCCCCAGACAGGCCTGGCCTCTCTGCCTGTATCGGTAGGTACCCCTTCTCCTCCCTTCCCTTCCTTTCCGTCTGCTTTCCCTGTTGTCAAACTATGCACGACTTGTCGTTTTCTCGTTATGCGTGTTCTCTCTGCGTACCCCATACTAGACTCTTTTGCAGGCTGAATAAAAGTAGAAATCGGCCTAAAAATGTAGCTGGCCAGGGGAGTTGACCGAGCAAAGAGCGTCCAATTTGCTTGGCCAGCTACATTCTTTTAGGCCGTTTTCTACTATTTATTCACCCTGCAAAAGAGTCCGGTGGAGACTAGTCCATACCCCCTTGTCCAATCAGTTTCCTTCTGAAGAAGGCCAGACATGTTAATCAGTACGTTAGACTGATCCTCTGCCGCGTTAACCTCATTTTTCCACAGCAAAAGTCCGCCAGACTTACAGAGATCGATGTGAAGAGTTGTGATCGATGTGACCGTCTGTACCAGGGGCAGACTGCGCACCGTTTATCGCTGGAAAATGGGGCATCTTTGAAGCAAGACGAATAACGTCTAGGTTTTAACGTGCAAAAATAGCAGCACTTTAGAGAACTATCGGGTCGAGATGTGGCCATCAGTATTACAGGGGTGGGAATCCAGGAAAGAAAAATGAAATACTAGACCTTTTTGCCTCTTTGTAAAACAAAACTCACCTCAAAGTGCTTAAATTTTGCTTAAACCTTTTAACTTTTGCGACGCCTCAGTGGCGTAGCCAATAGAACGATCCTGATCGAACGCATCGAACATCGAACCCCCTGTTCTAATTCGAAAAAGAACACGCCGTGGGTTCGATGTGTTCGATCCGGAACGGTCTATAAATAGTTTGCTACTTTTTTTTCCTAATGTTACGATTTCCTATCCAACACAACACAACAGGTCCTTCCACGTGGGCCACCAACTTTCCCAACTTCTGTAACGGACAGAAGCAGTCGCCCATCGACGTGAGCACCAAAACGGCGACGCAGAAGTCATTCCAACCTCTGAACTTCAAGGGCTTCGACACCCCGCCGGCCGACGCACAAATGCGCATCAAGAACAACGGACATGCCAGTTAGTAAACGTTACTCGTACTATTTCAACATCAGTTGTCGTCTGTACTTCTTACATGTAGTCTTTTGCCAAGAACAGGTTGAACTTGTGTAACGTTCAAGTCATATCTGTAGAAAATGTACGGAAGAATATTGACAATATTGGTCGTATCATTGAAATCAATATCGTTGTCGATATAAATCAATATTTCACATTACGTATGCAATGGCACAATTCTCTGTGCATGTGTAACATTGGCCTTCAACGTCAGGGCAGGAATATAGCATGGGTTCATTTTGGAAGATAAGTAACCATTTATCTATATAGACCTACTTTAAGTGGTATCGTCCGTGTCTTTTCTGGCTTTCAATATCCCCAATTCATCTGAAAAGTCGTGATTTTTCAATCACTCTTTTTCATGTGCTAATAGTACAAGTGGATCTACTGTCCAAGACTGGCAAGACGGACAACTACCAAATATCTGGCGGAGGACTACCGGGCACGTACAATGTGCTGCAGTTCCACTTCCATTGGGGGTCGGAGCACACCATCAACGGAAAACGTTACGACGCCGAGGTACTATTTTGTCTCTAACTCCTTCGTTAAATCATTTTTAGACCATATATATGAGCATTGCAGATATCATCATTCATCTTCTGTTGTTCTTTTGATTTGGACTGGAATATCACAAAAGAAATCTTCTGTTTCTATTTGGCCTTTCAAATACTAAAATAATACCGTAAAAGAATTTATCTAAGAAAAAGATAAATAAAAAATAAATAATAAAAAACGCCTACGGTCAAACGTTATTTTTTCAAAACGCAGAATATGTTGTAAACCAATTGTTCATTGTGTACTTGATATAACCACAATTTCTCAGCTATTATATGTTACAGGAATATCACCACCGTACATAGACGTTGTTATCGCTGTTGTAGCATTTCTACGCCTCTAACCGTTGCCAGTTTCTAGCTGTTATACCTAGGTAATTAAGGCTGGATGGTTTTGTGGAGTGTAACACTAACTTGTTGATGCCTAGCCTGGCGTCCAGTCAATCGCGGTTGGGGCGGGTTCTCTTCGGGGCTACAGGAGCTCTTCACCGTCCGAATATTGTCCCCAGTATAATATTGTGGTGGGGCTAGTAAATCAACTCCTGGCGTACAAACCTCTACTACCAAAGCTCCTACAAGCGTCACACTCAAGCCAGGTGGCCAGATGATAGTCTCTACCAGACTAACTACGCTGGCTATATATAGGAGAATATTTGCCAGGGGAGTTTGGCCGCCTTGTAGGTTTGACAGGCCTTTGGAGGGAAAAAAACTGCCTCCCCGCGGCCGGACTCCCTTGGCCAATTTTACTCTCTTTTTTGCCGAATTCTATTATCCGTATTCCCGTAGAAAGGCCTGGTGGAGGCTAGGCAGTTGAGCTGGACGGGGAAAACTATTAGAGCTCCGAAGACAGCACCCTGCCCTGACCACGATAGACTAGAGAAAAGGTACCAGGCTAGTTGTAGCCTGACAGAGGAGTGCATCTTGGCACGTGCTTTATATCTAACGCCTTGCCGTTTCTCCCTGAATGCCGCCGTAAGATGCATGTGGTGACTTACAATGCCAAGTATCCATCAGCTTCGGAAGCCGCTAAGGTGTCCCCAGACGGGTTTGCTGTGTTGAGTGTGCTACTGGAGGTATGGCGATCACATACTGGCTGTCGGGGAGCCTCCTTAACAGACTTGAGGAGGGGCGGCGTTTATTTCTTTTGAGGGCTGAGCGCTGAGAGGAGTTTCGCCTCTCCAACAAGAGGAGAAAGTCCTAATCTCCAAAAAAGACCTCACGGTGCAAAGACAGTATCCATCAGGCAGAGTAGTGTCTAGCCAATGGATACTGTCTGTTATCGATATCGTATAGAGATCTCCAAGCAGATCCTACGGTGAGAATCCACTGGCCAGAGGAGTGTCCATTAGCCACCGGATAGACACACTCTTCTGGTCAATGGATACTGTCATTGCCACCGAAGGATCTGCTTGGAGATTACAAACTCCCTCCGCGGCATAACTTTCTCTAGTGGCCATTAGGGAACCTTAGCCCATGTAAAAAATCGCGTATCAGCTCCCCCCCCCCAAATGAACTCCACCGCTCTACAAGTCTGCGAAGGAGGCTAACTCCCGTGCGCTCTGCGTACAATGCCAATGGTTGTGGCTGAGCACTGGCGTATGTTTTAGCAAGAACATTATGTACGTCCTTGCTTATAGTGAAGCTCTTGCAATTGCAAGTTCTTGAAAGAAGCTAATAATATATGAGGAGCGGATCAGAGAAAATCCCTAGGTGTTTGATAAGAATTTTAATGTTAACGAAACTAGCACATGTCGGAACGACACCTCTAGATGCACATGGTTACGTGGAACACGAAGTACAAAGATGTCTACGATGCTAGAGACAACAACGGCCTCGCTACCCTCAGTGTACGCATCGTGGTATGTTCTGGTTGTAGTATTGCTTCTCGGCCTTTTGGCTAAGATCAAGTGTAGATAACATTGGGGGAGGGGCATTTTTGGCAACGCCTTCGGGGAAAATCCGATTGGCAGTAATGAGGTTGAATTTATTTTGAAATTTTCACCTGCGCATTTTCTAGGCAATCGTTATCTGTTTTTTTTTTTTGGAAAGTCAGTAATATTTGGTGTTGTACATAGCAGACAAGACTTTGCTTCCTTGAGCGCAAAAACTGGGCATTCTTGTGCAAAACTATTTAAGTTGTCCGTTTTTGCTTATGATACACTTTTTCTTACTTCAAACTGGCATTCTTCCGTACAGGCCACTTCGAAGACGGCAAACCCTGGGATGCAGAACATCGTTTCACAACTTTCAAATGTTCAAAACAAAGGTACGATGTCTTTTGCGTCTTTACTCTAATCTGGGTCACGTAATCAGTAATTGTAATCTTTTTAATTGCAATTTCAACAAAACCACATGGGCCAAACGTATCTGGTAAACGATGTCAGTGGTCACTCAACCGCGACGGGCAGGGCCGACATCGTTTACTCGATACGTTTGACGTACTGTTGACGTCACACTAAAGAGAAGCCACGTGACTAGTCTCACTGGGTCAGTCTATTGAGGAAGACCAGAGAGACTGATCGAAAGCTCTGTGTCTACATGTAGGTGAGAACATTTCCCCTTTTGTGTTGGAGCAAAAGTTTTATCTTTAAACAAGAACAACTGTCTTCCTACAGATATGACCTACACATACCCGACGTCCTTCTCCATCAACTCTGGTCTTCCTCAGTAGAGAATGACCCTGTGTGACTTGTCACGTGGCTTCTCTGAAGTGTGACACGTCAACACTCAGGGGTCACACGCACGTCGGCAGAACGTACTGCACCTGCGCGAAACCCGTAATGTATCGTACATAGCACTTCCGCAGAACGTCTCATATAAGGTTGTATTCGCACATATAAGGTTAGCACTCCGTCTGTTGTCTACAAATGTTGTGTTGGAAAAGATATCCTCTGCAACAGGCAAAATTCTGATGCAACGGTGACCAAAAATCCAACGAAAACCGCGAAAATCCAAGGTTCTGCGCAGGCGCAGTACGTTCTGCCAACGTGCTCAAAGGTATTTGGTAAACGATCTGACCTCTTTCCCCCCAGGTATGAACTACACGTACCCGACGTCTTTCTCCATCAACTCTCTGTTTCCCGCCGACAAGGCGAACTACTGGCGCTACATGGGCAGTCTCACCACGCCGAAGTGCAACGAAGTCGTCGTCTGGACCATTTTCAAAACTTCCCTCAAGATTTCTCAGGCTCAGGTACGCGAAAAACATTTACGATACTGTACTAGTTCGTAGAAAATTTGCCTTAAAAAAGACTGAAATTTTATTAAACATAGTTACAACACACTACGGAAGTCTATCGACATCTACGCACTACAGTCTTCATCAGGTTAAAATAGCCTATCACTTAGGACACGTGACCTGAGAAACACGTAACGTCATCATTTGGTCAAAGGTACCAAGAAGTTTGTACCGTTCCCCGTCGAACTTCCAGACATTATTGACAAATATGCTGATGTCCTACATGTATTCAAAGTAATGATCCTGATAACGGAAAAGCCAACACAGGGTTTTATCTGGGTTTTATCAAGAATGCAACACGAAAAGAGTGAAATTTATTCAGCTAACTACATATAAGCGATTTACTTTTTCTTCTCGGCAGGCCAACGCTTTGAAGACTAGCTGCTAACCCTTCTAAGGACCAAGAACAACAACCGCTGAACGTCCCAGTGGCGTAGCCAATAGGTCGATTCTGATCGAACGCATCGAACATCGAACTCCCTGTTCTATTTCGAAATAGAAGACATTTCGATGTGTTCGATCTGGATCGATCTATTAGTATTTTGCTACTTTTCATTCTAATGACGTGTTTTTTTTTCTTGGCAGGCCAACGCCCTGAAGACTAGCTGCTATTTCAACCCCGCCGGGGACCAGGAACAACAGCCGCTGAACAACAACTACCGGCCCACCCAGCCGCTTAACGGCCGTACCGTGTTCGACTCCTCTAACACGAGCGGCGTGCCTCAGCTGGCCCCCACAGTCCTGGCTCTCTTCATCGCCCTGTTATCATCCACGGCGCTGCAGTTATAAACAAGACTCTTTGGTTGCTGCTGTTTAATTTTACGTTTTGGCAACGCCAACGGCCGGAGCCGTTAGTATCTTGTACCCGCTATTTAAACTTGCCCACAAAAATAAAAGCTACAACTTAACTTCTCAAGCTAAAGCAAGTTGTAGTTTGATAAGCCTATGTGTTGCTCACCTCAAACTTTCGAATTCTATGAGTGATAACCCCAAAAAATGAACTGATGGAGCGAGGCGAATCTTGCTAGAGTTACAGCAAGACTTTGTTGCATCAAACATATAACTTATCATTAGTGACATAAGCACGGCAAAAATCGCAAGAGAGTTGGGCATGACATGCTAAAAATGTAGGAAGCTATTTATAACTGACGTCTATGTATAGATGTCTATATACTGTTCTGGAAAAATTTGAAAAAAAAAAGTCACCCGAAAAGGCAGAATAGGTAAGAAATTAGATACAATTTCATATGACTGCAAAATGTATATGTGTGTAGCTATATGTGGAAATCTAAATGTTGCGCAAGAAAAAAAAAAGTATATATGTGAATATCGTAGAATAAGTGTTTGTGGTGTCATGTTGTGATATGTTATTGGGCATGCTCTGGTGATAAAAGTGCGATAGTCGACAATCATCCGCTTGCAATACCCTAACCCTAAACCCTGACCCTACCCCGACTCAGATATAGGCCATCATTGAAACGTAGCTACCAATGTAATATGGAAACTAGGTTTTGATACGAATTGCCTTGTATTATACGGCACTAGTTAGAGGGGCAAACCATTCCGTTTAAAAAAAACATGGTAAGGAAACATACACAGTACAACAGTCAAGAAAGTTCATCTGTGTTGGAAGTTACATATTTAAACCTTTGTTCCAACACAAAAGGTAAGTGTTGTCACCTAGAGCTTTCGACCTGTCACACTTCAGAGAAGCCACGTGACTAGTCTCACTGGGTCAGTCTCCTGAAGAAGACCAGAGTGACTGGTGGAAAGCTCTAGGTGAGAACATTTACCTTTTGTTTTGGAACAAAAGTTTTACCTTAAAACAGTACAACAGTGGTACCTGACAATCATTATCAGTGGTACAGGCGTTTCGGTAATTCTAATAATCGTAAGAATATCATGGTACATTCCGTGAGCCCACAAATTCAAGAAAATTCAAACTGACGACTTTGCTAACAATGGTCTGTCCCTAATACGAGTGCCTTGCCTCACAAGATGGACTTATAAAGACTGTAGTAGTGAAGTTAAGTAAGCTTTCTACACATTATTATACTCGTCATAGGACCTTCTCCAAACCTTACCCGACCGACCTTCGCGGGGGGTCGCGTTGGGGTTTTAACCGAGAGTGGCGAACTAAAAATTACACCTAATGCCTTACATCTTGCAGTAGGCGATTTGAAAGTATGTCTGTCACTGGAGAACGTAGGCTGTCACAAGTCTGGTCAAACTTACGTGGACTCTTTTTGCTCTTCCTTTATGGAACAATTTCGTCAAAAACTTTACTTGACAATCGATGTCGACGGTAAAATTCGCAAAATATGGTCCAAAGAGTTTTTGTACATTATTGTTCTGTCTCGTGTGTTTGCCAGGAACAGTTAGAAAAGATGAACATCAGACATTAACATCTCAGTTTGCAGATGTCATCTCTGTACGCAAATAGAACGATTTTAAAACCGTTTTAAAATCCGGATAGCTCTAAATACAACAGTCTAAAACCGCTGTCAAATCTAGATGGTTCGTAAATTAAAAAACAGCCTTCCCAAACCGTCAAAGTTGTCCATTCTCCAAAACCATGTAACGTTACAAGTTGCATTTTGAAAATGAATATTTGTTTTCAACGGTTGTTCAATGTTATAGTGTAAAAAGTGGCACACTAATACCCCAAAACAAGAGCGATCAACAAGAGGAATGAATTATCAAACAAAAGATCACCGACCCAAATTCTCTCCAACATCAGACGCACTATGACGACATGTGCTCGCTACTCTTCTAATTTCAGGGATGATCCACGAATATCGTGGGGGAAGAGGAATTGCAAAGGTCTTGCGCTTCGTTTTCTGCTCACTTATTCGCTAAAATTATTCCCTACAAGAAACGACCCTCTCCTGCAGTTGTTCGTGATTCGTCCCGTGTTGTCAGAAGGGTTCCTTTGTCCATGTTTGAGTCAACTGTCTTGGAGAGCACCCTTGTTGTCCTAAACTCGTTCGTACATTGATAATGTTATCACCAGTGGTAATCACTGAACAATAACATACTCAGAATTTGATCAACATTAAATCTGAGATGCACACAAAATTGATTAGGTCGAACAGGTCGTTCGGTGTAACATAGCCAGCTGCCGCCGCGCCACGTGCCTGCGAAGCTGGTGTGTTACGCCGAAGGGCGATTATAGCGACTATATATACGGATACAGATACAGAAGGCGGTTCTACCGGCTATACAGATACAGAAACGTCCCCCAAAGCCCTCCCAGTGACAGCCTTCTGACCAAATCGCCTATGTCTCGCCATGTTTTCTAACATACCCACACTGTGTTGTGTGAGTGGAAGTATAAACTAAACTGAAGAAAAAAATGTAGATACTATTAAAAGCATGTATTAAATCCCGTAATTTCACGTAGACCAATGCCCGTCCAATGCAATAGACGTAACAGTAGTAGCCCGGCAAGCGACTTAAGCAAGTAATCATTTATTTCAGTTATGGCAAGAATCATGACCAACCAAATGCGTTGAAGTAAAACGAATCGTTTCAGGAGCATCTGTGTAAATCTGATGCTCTATTGGGCTATGAGGATTTCACGCACATGCTCCTTTTAGTTTTAGTTTTCTATCAGCTGTAATTGTTAGTACAGTAGTGATCCATTGTTGCAAACTCTTGTTATCATAGAAAGCTAATAGTACTGATACGGATATACTAGTATCCAATATGTGTGGACTATCATTGTATAGCTGACTATACTGTACAATCCTTTCAAGTAACGGTGCTATTGCAAAATCGTTTACTTCCATCCATTCTAAAATAGAATAGGAAACTTAGATTTTAAGTCTGTAAATACTGCATTTGTTGTTGTTCACTTGTTACATGGGTGCGTTTTCGGTAAGAATGTTTTCCCTGTTTTCCACAATATTATCTGTTTCAGTACTCCGACATGTAAAACATTTAGTGTAAAGGTTTTTTTAAGAGATGATTATTGTTTTAAAGTCACTGCAGAATTTAAATCAAGAGCGCGGTCGCTGATTGGCTGAAAGTCTCTATGCGTAGGGATCAGGATAGCCAATCACGTCGTAGCTCAGAGCCATTCAAACGAGCAACCATCACACTAAAATCTATACTATCACATTGTCACGATTTTTCGAGTTTAAATCTTGGCGTATTCAATCTAAAATTCTATCAACTAGAACTAGCGTTGCTCTTGACTTTTACTACACATTTTCAGCCTACTCCGTACTCTGCAAAAGCATGTTCAAGATGACAACTGACTATATATAGAGATAGATATATGATCTAGATGTATGTTAACCGAAAAAGCTAACTTAAGATTAGACTCATGTTCTAGGTTTACCACAGATAGCAATAACAAGAGTTTACCTCCTAGGGAGCGGTCAGATGAATTACACAAGATGAAAAGGTACAGGGCGCTTTGGTGTAGTTCATGTGTGCTCCAGAATGTGAACTCAAACGCTTGGAAAAATAAAGTAAAACTCCGACCAACAATATATGTGTGCGGGCTCGATACTTTTTGTGTGCTCTCTGTAAGTTTTCATTTGTTGTACATGGTACGTTATACATATACATGTATACAGCGAAATTTGAGAATGTAGGAACCTTGTTTTTTTGGCCCGCCTTGTTTTTTTTCGCCCTAACGCATTAGATTTGGAGTCTGCGGAGGATGTCATCCTTAAAATTTACGTGCTGTGGCCCAACGCCTTTCTCCCGTAGCTGCAGAGTTCGTACATTCCCCAACCTCGTCATAATCGAACTTTTGACCTCCAAAACCACCCTTCAAACTCAACAAATCGAACAAATAGGATAAAGATGTCCCGTTGAGAGACAATCAAAGAAAACTCAAACCTTTCAAAGTTGTTTCAGTGACAAATGGATGTTGTAATTGTTGGTAGTATTAAACTTAGCACAATACAGGTATCATTTCTTGTTTAACAAGATGTCAAAATTTGATAATGTAGGAACCTTGTTTTTTTTTGGCCCGCCTAGTTTTTTGCGCCCTATCGCATTTGAATTGGTGTCTGCGGAGGATGTCATCCTTAAAATTTACGTGCTGTGGCCTAACGCTTTTCTAACGTCGCTGCAGAGCTCGTACATTCCCCAACCTCGTCATAATCGAACTTTTGACCTCCAAAACCACCCTTCAAACTCAACAAATCGAACAAATAGGATAAAAGATGCCCTGGTGAGAGACAATGAATGGAAACTCAAACCTTTCAAAGTTGTTTCAGTGACAAATGGATGTTGTAATGTAATAGTTGGCAGTAAACTTAGCACAATACAGGTACCATTTCTTGTTCAACAAGATGTCAAAATTTGAGAATGTAGGAACCTTAAGCTTGTTTTTTTCGCCCTACCGCATTAGATTTGAAGTCTGTGGAGGATGTCATCCTTAAAAGTTACCTGCCGTGGCCTAACGCTTTTCTAACGTCGCTGCAGAGCTCGTACATTCCCCAACCTCGTCATAATCGAACTTTTGACCTCCAAAACCACCCTTCAAACTCAACAAATCGAACAAATAGGATAAAAGATGTCCTGTTTAGAGACTCGATCGATGAAAACTCAAACGCAGAGCGGTACGTGTGTTATCGACCAGTCTAGTCGGTCGATTGAGAACGAAACCGTGCAAATAACCGTGAAACATCAGTCATCATAAATATCGGGTCCCAGAACTACATATCCACGTCAGCCTGGAGACGTGTGAAGAGAAGTGGCGCATCTCTGAATGTTTCACTTTCAATCTTCAATGGGCATATCGTGTGTCTGTGGCACTTTCAATGGACTTACTGTATCTTGCCATTAGCCTAGGAAAGTTATTGTTGTGTTTCCAGATTCAATCCAGAGAAAAATAAGGGTCAATAAGTGGGGATCTTCTAGCCTAGGTACCATCCGGATTTTTGCTCCGCAACGCTCGAAAAAATCGTGAAAAAACACACACGAAAAAAAACACAAAACGTGATTTTTTTCGAGCGTTTCGGAGAGATAATCCGGATGGTAACCAGGCTAGGGATCTTTTTCAATTTTTTTTTTAGATTTCGGCTACAATGATCCAGCAATTTGCAAATAAAATTTAACACTGCACCGGGCCTGTCTCAAGAACCCGTCTACCTCCACCTGTTAGCTTGTGAACAAATACTTCAACCTGATTTACTGAAGAAAAAAATGCTTCTGAAAATACGTTAAACGTTGTTTCTTGGATGCCCAGAAACATTCCCAAATGATTTTGGGTTGACTAGAGAAATATTTGAGACCCCCTGGGAAGAACACAGTGCAGCTCTGTGAACACTCTTGAATACTGCCTCCATTCATGAAGGCTCCCTCGCCTCCTTGAGACTCCATTTTGTATGAAAATTGGCTTTCAAGCTCGTATGAAAACTTAAACAGATCTTGACCTTGTCAGAGCGACCATCATCCATATTGCAGAGATGCATGGCTCTTTGGTAAACCCAGACTTTCCAAATTAATATTTATTGCACTGGTGATTTTTTTATATTCCAACATTTCAGGACAAGACATGATGACGGCACACTCAAGTTATATCAACTTATCTTATGCCGCCACCAACGCAGAGGACAAATACAGGACAGGACAATACTCATTTTCACTTGAGGAAAGTCGTGTAAAGTGCCTTTCCCAAGGGCACAAGATCGGTGGCATGTCAGGACTCGAACCCGGGACCTCTTGGTTACGAGTCGAGCACTCTGCCGTTATGCCACACGACCCTACTAGTGATTATTGAGATACTGTGCAAAGCAATATCAAGGAATGACCAAAATATGGCAAATAATGTTTTTCCAGACACTCTTAGCATTTGCAAACTAGCTTTAAGGTTTTATTTGTTGTTCAATGAAGAAGATAACACATTGTAGCTATGAGCACATGTTGTACTCTGTACTACATTGTATTTGATAAAGAAGTGAAAATTGAGTCCCTGCATTGTTGGTAGTCCATCACTATAGCAGGGATGTAAATGTACCATAAATGTATATATTAAGTCATGATACAACCAATACAAGTAGTTGAGGGAAGTCTTGCCTTATAATTGTATTGCAGTGAGTACAACCTCTTTCCATTGAAGTGTAAAAATGCATAGAACAGCATTTTGCTGTAGGAACTGTGTGGATTTAACAAAAAAATTACAACCCCAGTATTTCAATTATGTAATACCAACTTTTGAGGACAAGTATACTTCAGAAAGAAGCCATAAAATATCCATTATTTGTCATTAACATTTTTAATACTACCAGAGTGCTTTAACATTCCTTTGAACAATTACCCAACGCTTGCAAATCATACAGAACATCAACTGTTATCTTTTTAAGTTTTATCATTCAGAATACAGCCTTGCTTCAAACAGATTTTTGTCTTAACATTGCTCATATTACTAGTATTATAAAAGTGTCTTTCCTTGTTCTAGACAGACTGAGAGGTTGTATTGATCTGTTAATGCAGTGTCTCAGTCTCTGTAGGGTTCTACTCATATCTGATAGACAGGTACAGTCTCAGTTTTTGTCATCTGAAGTCATCGAATCCCGGCGGGGGCCTGGTGAAACTCTTCTTGACTTTCTCGAACCCTGGGGGTGGCCCCCGAGGTTTTGGATCATGTCTCTTATCGTTACTCACAGTTCTGACATCAGATTGAACTTCAATCGCAGCTGAATGATCTGATTTGTTCAACTTTCTATCTTCTTTTTCATTTCTACTTCCCATTTGAGGAGGTTTAGTTTGTTTCTTGTCAACCACTTTGTTACTGTCATAACCCTTTTTTGTTTCATCAGTCCTTCTACCATCCTGCTGCCTACGGTTTCGTCGCTGCCAATCTTGTTGCCTTGGACGATTGGAGGTTTTCTTCGGGTGATCCCCTTCTCTGCTTTTATATTGCTGATTGTGGTACCTGTCACTACAGTGTTCTGAAGATGTGGATGTGATGCTCCTGTTTTCATTTCTCAGCTCAGGAAAACCATTCTGATAACTCTTCTTTCCTTCTTGCTGCTGGCTGCTATCACTGGCACTGATGCTCTTTGCCTGTGACTGTCTGCTATCCCTGGTGCTGATACCTTTTCCCTCTTTTTGCTCCCGGCTATCCCTGGTACTGATGTCCTTCTCTTGTGGCCGCCTGCTATCACTGGAAATGATGCCTTTTTCCTCTCTTCCCTCCCTGCTTTCACTGGTACTGATACCTTTTTCCTCTTTTTGCTCATAGCTATCCCTGGTACTGATGTTTTCCCCTTGTGGCTCTTGGCTATCACTTGTACTGATGTGCTTCTTGCCAGCCTCCTCCCCATGTCTGGGCTCCTCAGATCTGCTGGGGTGTGACCTTACCTCATCCCTGCGCTTATCCGACCTGGTTGACTGTTCTGAACCTTTGCTGTCAGCTACAGACGCGATGCTTTGTTCCGGCTTGTCGAAATCATCATCTTTTCTGCTGTCTCCTTTCCTTGGTGGATATGGTCTCTGTCCGTCCCTTTTCATTGCACGTTCGTTGTTCACCCCTTGCTTTCCGGTCAGTTTTGTCTCCTCATTCCCTTTCTTCTGTTGTTCTCTCACCTTCTCTACATCCCCTGGACTCTTCCTTCCTCCTCTGTCCTGTTCTCTCATCTTCTGTCCATCCCCTGGACTCCTCCGCCCTTCCCTGTACTGTCGTCTCTCCCCTCCTTTACTCCTGTCCCTCCATCCCTCCCTCGGGCTGTGGCGTCTCGCCTGATACCTCCCCGCTCCCCTCCCAGCCGACCTCACCTTTCTCTCACCTTCGTGTCGCCGCTGTTGACCCTTTTCCATTTCCCCTGGAATCCCTCTTCTCTTTCCGTCCTCGTCTCTAGGCACACTTCCCGCCGATTGCGGCTTACGATCCGACAGCCGTGTTGTCTCCGCAATACCCATCCCAGTTGCTCCCATCTCTCCATTACCAGCCTTACTTATCCCTTCAGTTTTTACCGTTGCCATTACCCCAATCCCAGCCTGCAGTTCTCCACCGGTTGGATCCTCCTGGGACTCTTCTGTGCCGACTGAGACGACATCTGAGGTAGAATCTCCCTCGCGGCGAGGAGCCTGGATTACAGGAGGAGCGACACAAGTGCATTAGAAGTGTGCAGCTAATCAGAGAAGTGGGGAGGGATCACAAGGAAGTGGTAGTAGTCTCTTCAGGATGGTAATCCTGTCTGATGGAATCTCTGAGGACAACTACATGTACAATAGTTACTAGAATTGCTTTACAACAACACTGTTCACAATGGTAATCCAGTTGGAATGTACAACCCCTGAAGATAACTAACTGGAATTGTTTTACAACTGTAACACTAGTACTTTACAACATAGCTGGTGTGTTACACCGAAGGGTTATACTGACTATACAGATACAGAAGCTGGTGTGTTACGTCGAACGGTTATACTGGCTATACAGATACAGAACATACAGATTCACAACCACTTGTTTACAAGAGCCAATGTTTCAATGACCATCTGTCATCTTCATCAGGGCATTATTTATAATTGGTGCACTGGAACTAGGTGTTACTGGTTCACAGTGCACTGAAGCTAGATGTTACTGGTTCACTGAATAAAGAACTTTGATAATTTATTCAATCATTCACCTGATGAAATTGAGCACATTAGTACTGGCCAGGCATTTGAGGATAGGAGGCCCTATATGATTGGATAAGCCACAGATACAAAATTCAGTAGATGAACTATGGTTTTAGCAAAGGAGGAAAATAAGTTACCTCTAACTTGATGAAGAACTTGTTTTTCTCTGCCTCGATGTCGATGATTCCTCCCTTTGACTGTTGTTTCTTGTAGACCTTGGCCATGTCAGCCTGCCACTTTATCATGGCTTTATCAGGCTTGTACTTGTCCTGCAGCAGAAAACAAAAAGTTAAAGTTTACTGCACAACGATTGTCACGGGTACAATGTATGGCAAATAATAAAGTTACTAGTTGGTATGAGTCTATCATAATGCTACATATATGGTGAACGGTTACTGTGTCTGACAGAGTGTTAAAAAAAAACTACTGGCTAGAAAATATTTCAACTCTACACATACGTTCTAGTACATTACGCATGACACAAACTATACTTATGCAGGGTACAGTGAATAGGAAACACAATTTGTTATGTTAACCTTCCAGGGCTCTCCCCAAGCAATGAAGCAAGGGTGCTACCCACCTCCCCAAAATCCTAACAGTAACACTTCTCCCAAAATGTTCAAATTTAGGGTTTTCTCTTGGTACTTTCATGGAAATTCGCTGTTTTTTACCAATTAGGGAGCACTTCTTCCCTAAGAATTTCTGGAGAGACCTTCACAGAAGGAAAACAGGTTGTTTTTGCTCTGTTTCTTCTTCTTCTGTTCCAAACACATAAGGTCATTGACCTGGACCAGACGTCTATCACCATGGTAACTGGTGCTGAAGCAGACACCCTGTGGTGTTGGGTTACATGATGTATCAAGTGGCCTTTTCTTGACAACGAAACTTTGAATATTTTCTTCATAGTAATTATAGTCTGTATAATTATCTCAGACATTTACTAATTAAACAACTGTAGATACTCTGTGGGCATTATATCTGGAAAAAAAGCTGTCTGGCCATTGGAAGCTCATTCTTACACCAGTCCATGATTCAATCGACCCTAGCTAATACCTTCATACAGATGTTTAGAGATCGAAATCCAGCCCCTGGTCTGCGATGATAAACTGGTTAAAACTATTACATGACAAGCACTTCCGTCTTTCCCTGGGGAAATTAGCCCATGTCGGGAGGTATTTCACTGTATAAATCTGTCCTGGCAGCGAGTTTTGAGAACTGCTGAAGAGTGCTTTAACCGTACACATAGGGACTGTAGGAGCAGTCTCCACAATCAATATGTCGATACCTGAATTCCACCGAAGTTACCAAAAATAGACACTGTGAATGAACAGTTTTGCGGATGAGCAGGCCACCTCAGGCTAAGATAGCACTGATAGTGGTTTAAAGGCATCCAATGCAGTTTTTAGGGCTTGGAAACCCGAATTTTTCAAAGCCAATATTCCAGTCATTTATCTACATACTAAGTTGAAACCAAACTATCCCAACCTCATGGAGCAAAAATTCCCAAAATTCTGACGGAAAATGGTTACTGGAAGGTCCCTGGGCTGATTTTAAGGGTACCACCCAGAAAATAAAGGACTCATCGTGGGGCTTGTTTCTGCAGTTTTAAATGCCCAAAGTATGAAATGCTGACTCGAATATGCTAATGTGAAGCAGTATGTGTCAATATCACAAAGATTGCCTCATTCAGAATATTTCCAGTTTTGCTGCCCTGAAATTGCATTGGATGCCTTTCACTTATATTCACGTTATATTCTAATGAGTTATCGGGTACTGCTCAAAAACGACATCTGGATATATTGAGGCCGACTCCCTGTTGCGATCTAAAAATAGCACTCCTGTGGGATATGTGATGAGAATTATTACATGTATGAACTGTATTGCGGCTGTGAGCTATAATTCTGTCACGTATCTAACACAACTATTGAGGAAAACTTCTGACGATCAATTTTCCATCCAGAGCCAAAATGAAGCTAAATGAAAATGTGAATTTGCTGGGGCTTCACAACATACATTTGTACATTTTCTTTTTTGTGTGTGAAACAAATTGTTAACATTTTGTAAATGTAACTGTGCGTATATCCCATCCATATTTGCAAAGAAAGGTCTGGTTGGATTATGGGGATTCTGTGGACAACACTACCAAAGTCACAAAGGAGCAAAACTGAGGGCTCATAACTTAATACAAAATGTATACTTCAAATTCATCCATACCCTCAGCCTGGTTGAAAAACTTTGCTATACAACGAGTCCCCCTGTCCATTCCCTTGCAAACTGCAGAAGTATCAGTCCTGTGTTAAAGAGTATTGGACCTGGTCTGTATGTCATAACCTTCCTACCTCATTGATTGCAGGTGGTTTGGCAGACAGCAGTCCTGCTAGGTCATAGCTGATTGGCTCTCGACACATCGGGCACACAACCTACAGACATACAAGTTACATGGAACTTACATGTACAGTGAGAAACACACTAATACATAATAAGTTTGTAGTTTAGATGACATTCAGATACTGTAATTCTTGATTTGTTAACTGTCACTTAATCATAGCTGATTTAGCTGTTACTTTTGTACCGCTAAAATTTCAGTACCGTAATACATTGTATTTGAACACTTTTGATCATCTGCCTTGTCCACACCGCTAAAATTAAGTGCCGTGAGCTAGTCCATTTTCCTCCCAACGCTATAATTTCCAAACGCAATATTAAATGGAATTACAGTACTTAACACTAAATAAAACCTGCTATATAGCTATATGCAGCAATGGCACATACTAGTGTTTAAAGAGTCTAAATTCAAAGTTTCAAACCCTTTCTATGGTAATCCTCAAAGGAAGAAAACAGTTTTAACTGTTAAAACTATCATCTCTTAGTCTTCAGTGCCTGAAAATATAGCCTGGTTACCAAACCTATTTTAGCTGCCAAGTATCTTTCATCATCTCTGCTATATTTGTGGAGAAGACAAAAGAGACTTGAAAGATGAAATACTGTGATCTACTTTATGTTTGCAGTAGCAAAAGTTTGCCGTCTAAAAAAAAAATGGACATGTTCACAGAACTATATACTTGTGGTGGTGGCAGGTGCAGAAAAAAAGAATGTTGGCGAATTATTTGTTTACGGTAATGATAAGTTCCTGATACAGAAGTGATTGCGAAAACTGCAAACATAAAGGTACTGCGAACAAATCATGAATTACAATAGATTTAGTAACTAGTATGATAAAATGCTTACCTCATTCTGTGGTGTCTCCACCCTCCCAGGATCCACTGGTCCTGTGACTTCTGGCTCCTGGTCTAAGGTGTGCTGTATGTACCGCCCCAGACAGTGGCAGTGGAAGTAGTGGTAGCACTCTGTCTTGGTGAAATCATCCATCTCCTAATAAATAAATAAATAACAAATACTTTTCTACATTGCAGTATTACTAAGTATTCTCTAAGTAAAAGAGTAGGGACATGCCCTGGTATATGCGCGATGGTGAATATTCTACAGTCCAGAGTTGGTGATTCACTACAGTACAAATCACTCGGACAGAGGCCTGGCGAACCCATTTTGTATTAGCCTGAAGGCTAGCCTTTAATACTAGCCCCCGTGCTAGGTGCTAGTTGGGTAGCATTGGCTGTATCTTCAGCCAAAATAAATAAATCAACTACTTTCTGGCCTGGCTACTTCCACTACATAATCCTGTATTGGTTTGGTTACCTAGGGAGTTTGGCTTTTGGCAGTGTTGTGTTTTGAAAAACAAATGTAGAAAGTAGAATGAGACTTACGTGGAAAGGGTAAAGGCAGATGGCACACTCACAGCTGGGCAGGTTGTTGTGAGTTAAGCTGTCTTTGGCCAACTAAAAACAAAAGTACATGTGTATTCAAACATTTTTAGTTACTAGTAAGATGTACATCCTAGAGTGTACATCCTAAAGTCAAGCCAGAAATATCAGATAAAAATACACTTGACTACTGTACAAGTATTATGTTGCATTGTGCCATAGATCTTTCAAATTTGAGCTGGTAAACTACAAACTTTACTTGTACTTGATGATGATGATACATGTACTTACCTCTATGATTTCATACAACATAGATTCTCCTTGTCTTTCTTGGGCCAGGTGTTGAAGACTCTTGTAGAGACTGTCGTGTACAGAGGAATACTTATTCATCACTGATCAAATTCTTCTTTTCTGATCTGACAATCATTATGATTCTCTACTATAGGATATAATACCACGCCTAAAGCCTAGAAATCTTATTAATGAAGTGTTATAGTTGAATGAACTGTTTCTTACCGTAGGTACTACCGTAGTTAGGCTGGTTTCTTACCTGTTGACTTGTTGTTCAGACAGCCCTCGAGGGTTCTGGATGGTCAGACTTGGTAACTCCTGGGGATACTTTACAGAACATAAATAAATGAATAAATAGAAAACATAACAAAACAGGTTTTGGTTTAGTGTTATTCAATTCATCACAAGTGATACAATACTCCCTTAATCTTCCTAGAGTCCAGCAAAATAAAGCCAAAGGTTTTACCTGTTTAGGTAAGATGATGGACAGAGTCAGTCGGACAAACTGTGCCTCCACATTGTCAGCTGTTGCAGGGTGGAGGGTGATCTCCACTCTCCTGGGATTGCCACTGGAATGACAATCAGGAATGTTAAATCAGTTCTGCTATACTTATAGGGTATATATCTGTTATATACCAAGAAGTTTAGCAAGAATGGAAACACCCTGGACTTTAAGTTATGCAGACCATTATTGAAGCTTCCATAAAATGTGAGTGAATGAGTGAGTGAGTGAGTGAGTGAGTGAGTGGGTGGGTGGGTGGGTGGGTGGGTGAGTGAGTGAGTGAGTGAGTGAGTGAGTGAGTGAGTGAGTGAGTGAGTGAGTGAGTGAGTGAGTGAGTGAGTGAGTGAGTGAGTGAGTGAGTGAGTGAGTGAGTGAGTGAGTGAATTATTGAGCTAGTAGCTACCTGTATGACAGCAATGTGCTTCAGTCATGCAACATGTAAATGCACATTCTGTGACCTTACTATGTAAAATACCTGTACTACAGTACTAAACAAAGAGACACTTGACTTGAACTCACCTGTCATCATGCTCTACCTGTAGCTCATCCAGGTAAATGGACTCCAGGATTTCTAGTTCCACCTGTAAGGTGCTACAGGAGAGAACAGCACAGGTGTGAGTATGACAAATCTGTATATGTACTTAGTACTAGTAGTACATAATGTATGTACTAGTAGTGTAATATCCTAGTATTTTTTTCTGCAATTCATCACATTTTACTCTTTGTGATGCTTCCACGTTTAAGTAAAATCTATGAGATGGGGAAAGAAACATATGTTATTTTAAGTATGACTATGACTACGTTGTACAATGTATGTGTATGATTCTATGAAACTATGATATCATACAATATTATGCCACTACTCTATGAAACTATGATATTATACAATATTATGCCACTACAGCTCTAGTCAGCTTGTAGCTTTGTCAACCCCTACATGTCTGACTCTAGAACCATACGTACAAATTTCATTTGGGATTATATATTGTATCATAAATTTCATTGATTCCAATATTGTACACTATTTGCAAAATATGTCAAATATGGGGGGGGGCTTTTCACACAGATCTGTATCATCATTACGTAACACAGAGTTACCACAAGTGTTAGTCTTTCCTCTCCACATGTCAAAATCTGGTGACAGTTGTTAATAAAATAGTAGAATTTACCAAATCCGTGATTGCATAACACTCTGAACGCATATATCGATTTTTTTCAGGATTCGAAGGTGCTTTTCTCTCAAAAATCGTTGAACTTAACACTCATTTATTATCCTAACATAGACTTTGTAGGTACAGCTACATCCTAGAGTCTTTATAATTTGTATATTTGCACGATAGAGCGAAATTTTAACGGAAAATTACCTGTTTTCCATACATTCTGGCAAACACTCCGCCATTTTGCCGGTAATTCGAACTGTAGGTCAGAGGTCATAAGCGGACAGTGACCTGAAAGGCAAAAATACCTTTTCAGTCAAATTCTTTTAAAAATCATGAAGCATTATCCTTAGAAGATTGTGGGATTTGTCAAACTATTCGTAACATCTGTAAAAACTCCCCTATCGTGTGAAAAAGTCGGGGTTTTCCCCAAAAATTGTTGGAAAAGTTTTGTGCGCGTGCGCGGAAGTTATTTGTGGGTGGTTCGAACCGCCATGTTTGTGTGAGTCGGACGACTTCCTCATCATTCTGTGCAGTTTTACCACCGCCGGCATTCCGGCTATTTCCTGCTCAAATTTGACTTCTTGGTCATCCTTCCTTGGCGAAGACTTCAAGATTTCCTTCGGTGGTGTAGAACTGAGTCCAGTCGGTGAGATTTTGGAGAGAATCGGCAGAAAAAGGGGAGGTGTGCAAACAAAAGTTCGCTCGGGCCAGTGAGCCAAGATGGCAGCAAACTTCGACTCGAACGATAAGAATCAGTGGTACTTCGGCGGGATTTCCCGCGACGAGACGGAGCGTTTGCTGCTCGGGAGGATGCACGGGTTGTTCCTAGTCAGGGACAGTCGGACCAGGAAAGGGGATCTAGTCTTGTCGGTAGGTTTTGATTCCTTTTTCACCGTTTGTTTCGTTGTTTACTTTGGTGTGAGAAAATTTATGCGCTCGCCGGGCCTCCGGCTGAGCCCTTGATCCAACAGGCGGTTTTGTGATCGTCTGAAACTCGTCTGCGAGTCTGAGCACGTCTCAAACACGACCCTGGTCCTTTCTGTGGTCTCATCAGGGGCAAGATTTGTACAACTTTGATCCAGAAAAGCCTGAAAATGTTTTTGTTTTTTTCTAAAACTCTATAGTGGATTACATAAATCTTGAAAAGAAATCTGCCAATCTGCAAACAGGTCATAACAGACGACTTTGTCTCGCTTCAAGTGTTTGTGCTTTCTAGTATAAACTTCTGATCGGACTTTTGATAAACAGTATCTAACACTGGTGGGTTTTGACCTAAATTTCTCATAATTTTGTGAAACTTTCTTATACATGCTGCCTTTGTTGAAATAGCAGTTTTATGGTACATAGACATTTTTTACCTTCGGATATTCGTAAATACATGTACATCTCTTAAGTCACAAATTGCAGAAATTGTTTTATTGTTATTACATCCTCCTTTTCCTGTTTTCAGTCATTTTTTTAATTCCCTATATCATATGTATGATTGAGTAGCCTTGTACTTGGGGTCCTGCCATGGAAAACAACCCATTATTGCTCACTTCCTGAGTGAAAACAAGTCCCTAGTGTAATGACCTAACAAGTGAATGTGTCAACATATGGGGGATTACTTATAACTAAGGATGTGACTGAGACATCCTTGTCAAAATTGTTATTTTTCAACACCTCCAAATACTACAGAGTAACAGAGATCACATTCTTCTGGTATAACTATACTATCAGTGATTTTGGGTATTAGAAAAGAATGAGACTAGACCTAGAGACTAGACCTATACTATATTCAATCAAACTTGTTTTTCTGACAACTATCAAAAATATGTCAAAGCTTGGAAAGAATACATTTTACTGAAGATATCAGTGAGAAAGCATTTTCTGTATTTTCATGCAGTCTGCCATTGAAAGAAGTATTTTAAAGTTAAACCTCCTTGGACAGCCTTTTAAACTTAACATTCTTGCAAAGAGATCTAGAGAATGTTGACATAATCGCATGTGTTACTAAGCTTTTAAGTCTCAAAGAAATATACCCAACCTTTCAATGTAGGCTGGGAGTTTATGTTGGAAAGAAAGTGAAGGTTGTGAGTAAGGAATGGTATCCAGACAATGTCATGAATGAAAGGGAAACCAAGCAATTAATTACTATAATTACTGAAGGCCAATTTACCTGTCTGTATGTTGTCTAGCCTCCATAGCATGCCAAAAACTGGGGGTTTGGGGGTCTTCAGGGTCTTTGGGAGCTTTTATGTGCTCTTTTCTGATTGCACATCGACAACATAGCCGGCCTGGTTGAATTATCCCCGTTTTTTTAACTGGGCTAATCATTCAGAAAACAGCCGGAGACCACCAAACCCCCAGTTCTATAAAGCTGCTACGAAGGCTGTATGTTGTCTAAGTTTGGCTATTGTTAGCTGTGTTCACTGTAACAATAGTATTTCGTTAAATCTGATTCATCTGAATACACATTGCCACCTTCAATGGCTTCCTATTGAGACGTTACGTAGGAACTCCATGTAAACAGATTGCGTCTTTTCCTGTACGTAAGCACTGCAACATTTTGAGACAGGTGAGTAATTAAGGTGTGGTTTACATGTTTACCTGACGTAATGACTTTCTCAACCTTGTCTCGTCTATTTATAGACTTGATAAACCTAACTGCATGATAATAGGTATCACTAGTATCACATACAACAAAAGGTATTACCCTTAGGCTATACTCCTATACAAAGGATCCGGAGTTGACGTCATTTGGGGATGGTGCTAAGCTCAACTACTGGTGTACAAAATGTTCCTTATTAAGTTATACTGCATAGCTTTTCCTCTGTTACTAACTTAGGGTTTGTAAGCCTAGATTGATGATACACCAGTGAAAGATTTTTTTTTTCTTTCAGCATTATAAAGTGGAATGCAAAAATGTATCATAGATAAGGTTTTTGCTGTGTTTTTTGTTGTAAATTCAGCAGGAAAAGCTTAGAAAGCTAGAGGGATTTTTTCCAAGACCACAACAATTCTGGGAGTGCCTGGTGTTGTCAGTGGTTGACAAGTATCAGGTGGCAGCACTCAAGTTTAGAAGAGACAGGGGAGATATGATACAAGTTTACAAGTTTCTCACAGGGAAGGAGAGAGTAGATCCAGAGCTTTTCTTCCACCTTGGTAACCAGCAAGTAACTAGAGGCCACTGTTACAAGCTGGCTGTGCCCCTGGCCAAGTCCACAGTTAGGCGGTATTCCTTTAGTGTCAGGACAGTAAACAAGTGGAACTCCTTGTCGGAGGTTGTTGTAGAGGCTGAGTCTGTAAATGCCTTCAAGTCAAGGTTGGACATGTGTTGGGAGGAAAGGAAGTACCTGGAATGACAAGAGGGTGGCACAACAGGCGACGCCTTCAGCCACCAATTCATCCTCAAGGTATCCTCAAGGTATCTTATTGTGACTAAACTTTGATGGAATGTCAGGCATTCCCCTGGCTGAAATTACTGGCCACTCAGCACACACAGGAACCAGAGTAGACAAACAAATATCCCTGTCACAGACAACACAGCACCACTAAACAAATGTGCTGGCACAAACAACAAGTGGGGACAAGATGGATGGTCCTTGATGTCCCTACTCATTTAGGTGACAAAGAAGTAAAAATAAATGCCAATCTTTCATAGTAGGACTGACAATGACATGGCCATTGTCTGATCTCACATTAGCAAAATTTTACAGTCTAAGGAAAATGGACATGTTCACTAGAACTAAATAATCTTCACGGCAAGTGGAGTTACAAGTATGTGGCAAAAGACCAATGATAATGGCAATGATAAGTTCACAGTACCGAAATGACCATGAAAGTAGTGAACATGAAAACTGTGAAAAAATCAGGAATCACAGTACTGTCTCTATATTAAATGTAAGAAGCACAGAATTCAGATGCTTACAATGCCAGGCCTTTATAATGTTAGATTTATGGTTTAAAGTAATATCAGTCCTAACTTTGTACATGGAGTCTGAAAGCAAGCCAGCTTGTACTGGTTTGTATCTCACCATATTACTCAACAGTGATAACTCAAACAGTGTGGTAAGATTAAGAAGGTCAGTCCTCAGTTCAGGTGACACAACATGGCCATTACTAGTAAGACACAGACACAGAGGCTCAATGTCAAGCCTTCATATTGATAAATGTATGGGACTGACAAAAATTAAACTGCTGTACAAGGAGTCCCAACGTTAGCCAGCTTGCACTGGTTTGTATCTCACCACATTACTCAACAGTGATAATTCAAACAGTGTGGTAAGAAGGTCAGTCCTGAGTTCAGGTGACCTGACAGCTGGGAGAAGGAACAGACAGGAAACAGATGCTATCACTTAGCAGCTCTTCCCTTCTCAGAAGTCAGAAGGCCATCTTTCTTTCTACTAGTGAGGAGTCACTGCAGCTTTCCTTGGATCAGAGACATGTTGAAAGCTAGCCTGGGTACTAGACTGTTTTGGGGTCCTACACAGTTAGCACCTTGATGCACGCTGGGTAACTCCGTACCTACACTTATCCTGTATCTGGCATCCAGGCAAAGCAGAGACATGTTGAAAGCATCAGGTTGACAGAGGTCATCTTGCATGTTTTGGTTCCACATTGACCCTAACATTGCCAGAGATAGATTATAAGAGTTAGAGTAGTGCTAGTGCAAATGGCCGTGATATTCAGGGTTTGTCTGGTACCAGTTTCAGTACTGTAGAAAGATCTGCCACGCTCTTGTAATACTTTTCACGTGGCAGCTTTCTGCAAAAAGTAAGTAATGATACTAATATATGGATGTTGTAATATAATCTATACCCTGAAGATGCCTTACAGTTCTCTCTCTGTTTTCACAGGTGAGTGAAAACAACACAGTAAGACACTACATCATCAACAAACAACCAAACGGCTTCGAGATCGGCGACCAGGATTTTGTGGACCTCCCGTCTCTGCTGGACTTCTACAAGATCCACTACCTGGACACGACCACGCTGACAGAACCCTGCCCGAAGAACGCCCCGGCACCTCCGCAGATAAACACACCACCTCCCATCATCCAACATCAGCAACCGTTATACGAAAGAACGACAATTCAGCAGGAGCAAGTACGCGGTCTGTACGACTTTCACGGAAACGATCCCGAGGATCTACCGTTCAAGAAGGGAGAAATTCTGACCATCGTGAAAAAGGAGGAAGACGAGTGGTGGCTTGCGCGCAACAAGGTCGGACGGGAGGGTCAGATCCCCCGGCCGTACGTCGAGAGGTACACGCCAACGGAGGGCACGCCACACTACGGACAACCGAACATTCCCGTAAAAGCCCGCGTGATACAGCAGAGGATACCGAACGCGTACGACAAGACTGCTTTGAAGCTGGAGGTTGGGGACATTGTCACGGTGACGAAGAGAAACCTTAACGGTCAATGGGAGGGGGAGCTGGACGGTAAGGTGGGACATTTCCCCTTCACGCACGTGAAAGTCATCGATCCAAACGACCCAGACGACAACGATGTGTCGTCTTGAACACGGACTATCAGTTCAATCAGAAACTTATAGTTATCAGAAGTTACTGCCACTTTTTCATAAGGCCACACCAATTTAATTTGTTGGTTCACGGATTCGCCCACTTCATTTTTTCTGAATCTGATTTGCAAAAAAAATTGGGCTTTGAATCAAATCCAGATGGTTGTATTTTGGCCCCAACAGTTGAAGGAAGTCCCTTCTTTTCAGAGTTTTTCCATCTATGAATACATTGGTTTGATGAACAGTTTGAAATTCATTGTTTGCATTACAAACCAGCTTGGTGTGTTGACTTCATGGCTCTTATCATAGCATTTGGGGCTATTATAGGATGCGTAGGTCTGTTTTTATTTTTTTTCGCCGTCACGGGCTGTGGCATAATATTTTTTCTGAAAAAAACAAGAACAAACAAATCAAATTGGTGTGGCCAAAGCACAATGTATTTATGTCTCAGTTGCCAATTACAGCAAAGTTTGTATTAATGATACAAGCAATAAGTTCAGTCATATTACTTAGTATTCATATCAATGCTGTGAATAGTGTCAAGATAATTGTTGAAAATTATGTATCTAAGAAATTTTACAGATAAGTTGTACATAAGTGGTATAAAAGTTCTTTCATAATTATTTCAAATATCTGATTCAAACATAGATTACTTAAATTCATCCTTTTCTCTTGTGTATAATTGTATGAGAAAAGAGCTAATGTTTCTATATAATGGAAATTATTATATTTAGCTTTTTTGCTACTATGTAGTATATAATCATGTACACTTGAGACTTTGAATAGACTTGTAACAGAATATTTCTATAATCAGAATAGTATCAACTGTAGGAGCTAGCTCAGTACCACTGAATTCTTCCAAAACTAGCACTTAGACTATAGAAGAAGGAGTTTAGCTACCTCATATGGTGAAAAAAATACTAGTAGTGTCCTGTTTAATCACAATGTTGTAATGCTTGAACAGTAACGTAAGAAACGGGGTGAGCAGTAGAAACAGAAAGGCTGGTTCTGGGCCGGGTTCGAGCCCACCTGGCCACACGCCAACGCTCTAACAGCTCGGCTAAAAGGTCTAGACCCATCGGCCGGGTCAGTTGGTTGCGCCTATACACCCTTCACTACACAGTTTATGTTGGGACGCTAAGTTCCTTTTTCCCTTTCTATGTACACATTTTGGTATTCTCTCCCTGTCACTTGAATGATTATACATTTTGTACATAGACTAGACTTTACCCTTATTATGTAACAGGTTGTCTTTTTTTCTGTTTTACTGTATCCCCCTTTCAAATACACAGTATACATTCGCAACAGTGCTGCCAGTCTGTTCAGAAGAACTTTTTTTCAGCAATCAGACAATGATGAAGCACGTCTGTGATTAAAAGTCATGGGAGAAGTCTCGCTCAATGAAAGAAATTCTTGTAGGCGGGGTTCAATCTTGCACAGTGCTGACAGATTTGTGAAACCCCTTCCACCCCTTGAATACTTCCCAACTAGACAATGGAGGCTTTCCTGTGCTCCCATTTGTGTTGCCCCTTGTACTTTTTCATACCCTGCCTACGGGACGCCATTGTTGTGTTAATACGGAGTAATTTAATTAAACTCCGTGCCTGCGTTTCAATACCTCTAGTGAAAGAGAGGGCCAGAGGTGACGGGAGGTCATAGTCAAATTCCATGAGATCTCGGTAAATCTGGCACAGACGACAACTTTGCTGGGAAAAGAACAGTGTTTACACCAGGCAAGCCTAGCCTCTGGGAGGTGTGAGGGGTTTACTGAAAGTGGAAGGTGTTTGGCATTTCAATGGTGAAGTCCTAGGCCTGTATATTAGCTTTCAAAACTTGTGCAGGAAGGTATAGGTTGCTCCAAGTTGTTTTTTGTGGTCGTCACATATAGATGTATGCAGCTAGTTATTCTATGACTTAAGTCCCCCAAATGAGTTACAATTTACATGTGTATATTGATGATAAATGTAATCCTTTGAAAAAAACATTATACATGTCCATGTACTTGAAAACAGACTAGACAATTGCCCTTGTTAATCAATATCATACCACCCACTGTAAAATAAAGTTGCTTTGCATTCATCAGAAAACATTTTACATGGTTGCAACTGCAGTGAATTTGGATGACAACAGCCCATGCCAAAGTCATGGGAGAATTTCTGTTGCGTGGGTCTCATTTGGTGTTGTTTTGACATAGTACATGTTGACAGTTTCTGTAGATAGAACAGGCATGCACGTCATGTATTGTTATGCACAAGCAGAAGTTGTTTGAAGTCTTGTGGAAAAAAGATATGATCATATTATTATCATGAAAGTTCATCTGTGTTGGTAGTAATCATAGTAAAACGTTAAACTTTATTCCAACACACTATTTACAGGGATCAAATTTTCAGCGACCACTGTCGCCTTCATCAGCACTTTTGATCTTACGTCACGTATCAGTAAAGTCTCGTGTGAATAAGGTCACGTGTTTGTAAACCGTAACTCTCGCGAGATCACGTTGTGAAGTGATTGGTCATTAATTATCCTGATGAAGGCGACAGTGGTCGCTGAAAATTTGATCCCTGTAAATAGTGTGTTGGAATAAAGTTTAACGTTTTACTATGATCATATTATGTTTTGAAGTTAAGAGTTAAACTTCTTCGTGATCTGGTCAATACAACTGTACTTATAATCTCAATGTTAGCAATCTCAACATGGCGTCAAAGCCATGAAAATATTGCTAAATACATTTTACAGCAACTCTTGTCATCTTGTCTTCCAAGCTTTGTCATATTGAATTTGGAATGTCTTTTCCCACATTTTGAGGGTATCATGCAGGAGTATGCTTACTAGCTAATGCTTACTAGTACCTAAAATCTTGTTTAATGATATCCCTGTTTGTTACAATGTGTGCAGTTGTCAAGATGTTTTGACCCAAAAATATTTCCATATTTTATTTTTTCTTCAATGTGATTCAAGCTGAGTGAAGTTACAACTATGTGTATTGCGTAGTCTCAGGATCTGTGTACATGTATATTATTAAGGTTGGGCGGCCCGAAATTATATAATTTTCTGACAACTCTGACCAAATCACCACTAGTTAGAAGAAATATATCCAATATACAGTAATTCTCTTTGCTACTTGCACTGGTATATATATGGATGAGTACTACTGTCATTAATTCTACCACAAGTTTGTATGTAAAGGTAATATTTATTTTGATGATTTTATGATGAAAACTTAAATATGAAGAAAATTGTTTCAAGAACTTTCAGTTAGGCCATTATATTGTTTCTGCTTTGTTAAAATACCATTGAAACAGTACGACTGGTATATTGTATATGAAATCAGGTTTATAATTACTTAGTACATAGTTATTCCATGTACAAAATGTAGGTGTACAACTGTACATACATATATGATAATTAATAAATTCATTGATGTGCAAACATTGTCATGTGTGTGTTTGTTTTTTCTTCATTGAACTATTGAAAAGAATACTATACATGCATTTACTAGCACAATGTATATACAAAGAAAGGATGACACTAGCCACATATTTATTATATTTTGATCATTTTTTAATACTATTTCCATCAACATAATTATGCATCTGCACAGTGGCCAAGTGAGTAGAGTGTTCGCTTTGCATTCGCTAAGTCGTGTGTTCAATCCCTGACCAAGTTGTAGAAGTAACGTTTGGAAAGCAAATGCATAATGTTTACCTTCGGACATGGTCTGCTCTGTTAATTCTTAGTCAAACACATTCACATACATGTACTACTAGTATATGATGACAGGAGCAGAGCAGACCATGAAACTGCACAATTATGTAACCCAACACCAGTCACCATGGTGACAGACGTCAACAAATCGTCATTGGTCAGGTCAGAGGTCACTGGAGAAGAAGAAGAAACTGAGCAAAAACAATATGTTTTCCTTCGGTAAACATAAAAACGGTACATCCTGCTTTCTCTACTTAGCAATCAGCATTTGAGAAAGAGTATTATACTGGTACTGTTAACTACAGTATGTTAACTACATTAATATCAGAGCTTTATTTTCATCTACAATGTCAATGAAAAACTATGTAAACTTGTTCATACATGTTTCAAAAAGAGAGAATAGATCCTGTAACACAGAAATGTAACACTTGTTCCTTCTACTGTATCCTTGTTATCTAACTTAGTGCATTTGGCCCATGTAGGGCGTGAATATGCAATTAAGTTCATTGTCATCATTAGTTGATATTGTATAATTATAACACAATTTCAAAATATTTCATACCCATATCTATGGATTTCTTAATTAGTTAACCAGACACTTGTGAGAATCAGATTCTTATAGACATTGCAATGGAAACTAAATTTCACAAAAATCATTGCATCTATACCACCTATTAATGCTGTAGGGCTTCTGAGAAGTTCTTACACTTTGTCTTTTACAATTATGCAACAAACAGGTAACAATTTCACTTACAGCTGCTGTCAATAGTGTCATGATTAGCTTTTCACAATGGAATGATGACTACAAATCACACAGCAAATATTCAAGTTAGCCTTAGGAATTTGCAACATTGTACGTATCGTACAATAAAGTCATAGTACAATAGTTAAGTTAGATAACTATGATGGCTTATACATTTTGTACCAATTATAGTCAACAGCTGACTAAGAGAAGTCGAGAACAGACTTATTTCTCATATATAGTTATTTCCAGAAGGTATCAGCCAACAATTTCATGTGTCTACCTTGTGCTAACGCCTTAGCTAGTCCATCCCCTAGTCATAGAGAGCCCTAGAACCAGCAATAGTGCATAGGGATGGATTCCAGGCTACTAAAAACTAGGACTAGCCAGGATGCCAGGCTTGACACAATGCTCTCTATCGATCTTCGGCTGGGGAAAGCCACAAGCTCCGATCCTAGAGTTAGCACCTGGGGGTCTAATTTATCTCTTGAGAGTCTATCTGAGGGGGTGTCTAGGTAAAATTTTCGGAGCTAGCCTGTATATTATCCATGGCAACAGTCTGGCACCCAGGCTAAACTGAAGGACAGGCAGAGGGACTACAAATGTACATGTAGATAGCTAAGTATCAGTCAACAAATCATTCACTTATAACTGTCAGGTGATTGATATGGTGGACAATATTACTAGTGATGATGCGTGCAACCACTAGACTAGATCCGGACCTGAAAGTGGGTTTAGGTACACAGCACTAATTACTAGTGATGATCCCAGACCCTGTAAGACTACTAGTGATTTTTCCTGTAACACTGCTGGCTACCACCACTTGAAAGTAAACTCAAAAAACTGCCTCTCGCAGCAGAAGTTCCTTCCACCAAGCCGGCCTGCAGCCTTGTAACACTCTCCTTTCTTCTGGTGCTGAATATCGAATCTCCTATCTTTCAGGTCCAGCGCAATACAGTCCACCAAATCTTTAACACCGGGCGAGGCATCCCACGGCCCAAAACTCACCGCATACTCAAACGTACAGGTGTGTTCTAGAGTCACAAAGTCAGGAGGGGGACTGCTGGTCTCAGGCGGTTCTTTGAACACACGCATCGTCACGCGTGTCTCCCGGCTCCCGAATGCCTTCTCCTTCGCGATGCTGATCATCTCTTCAAGATTCTTCCTGTAATTCGGTACTTGTTTAACAAACTCCTGTCTGCCTATCAATTCTCCGAAAAGGGGTTGACACTGGTTGAGTTGGTCGACCAGCGCGTCTATGCCGTAGTACTGAGCCTCCTTCGCGACTTCCCTTGCGATTTCCGTGGGTGGTAGCTGCTCCCGCCGGAGAAAAGTCAGAATGTGCAGGAAGTACGTTGGGTCGCTGTCGATGAAGTAGCGTCTCTCCTCGTCCATTTGGACGTGGTGGCGGCCGCTGAACATGGCGGCGAGCATGGAGTTCTCATACTTGCGCAGCGTCGACAGCGCGGTCGTGAAGTGGGTGCCTCCAACGTTCAGTCTGATGATGGAGGGAAACTGCAGTGAAAAGAGAGGGATTTTGAATGTTGTAAATAACGTTACATGTATTGTACATTTGGGACTGTATCTATAGAAGTGACACCTGTGCTGTAGTGCAATGTGAACCAGTCAGAACTGCCCTGAGGAAGGTGACAGACGGTCACCGAAACGTCGGCTGAATAAAGGTCTTGCCTGTGTGAAAAGAGTCTCTTTACTCAGTGACTTACCAACCTGATGAACCTACTCACGGATAGAGAAATTTTGTTGAACATTTTAGACTTTAGACACACAACAAAAAGAGTATGGTACTCTAGGGAGCTTTTGAGATGCACTGTTGAATGCATCTCTTCATCAACCTGGTAATGTCATCATCTTCAGATCTCGTCTTGAAGTTCTCTTGTCACGAGAAATTATGTGATTTCATACATACAATATATTACGCTACACGACAATGTTGAAATTGTTTACATAAGTTATAAGTATAAGACTAAGAGTCTATAGATGACCTAGCTTATACATTAATTTGACATATTACTAGTATAAAGCTACATTGTTTAATAAATGCTTGGATTGCAATACTGTCTAAGGGAGAATAAGAAATAGCGTCAGCATCAAATCAATATTTGTTAAGCATTAAGTAACTCAAACCAATTCTATTATGATAGCTTTATGACACCTTGCAACAAAGTGGCAAGTGCACACTCTAGAAGATATAACGTTACAACAGCTTCAACAGTGTTGCTTCAGCTAACAACAGGTCAAACCTAGATGCACGTCAAAAATTTACAAGCGTAAAAGTGGACAAAAATTAATAATTCTGTACTTCAAAATCACTCACTTGGTTTTTTGTGGCAGCCATCTCTTTTTGGACTATTCCACTAAGTAAATAGGTGTGCAGTGCTGCAGAGAAGTTAAAAATTTTCACGAACTAGTCACAACATAACCAAAAACATTTAAAAAAATTTTATTTTTGATTAAAAAGTACATAATTTTTCTTTTAAGGTATCACTTCAGAAATTGGCTGAATTTAACAATCTAGAAATATACATGAATTTGCTGATCACCCCTATTTTTCTAATGTGATGTTCCGCCGGCCCCATGTGACCTCGCTGTTATCAGGCATCATGGCGGCGGAACCTGAGGTTGGTATTTTTTCCTGCCGAGTTTTTCTTTCTCTCTGCCCGCTCCTTCCAGCCGCACGCCAAGCTTCCTTCCTCCCAACCAGCCACTGGTGACAGGATGTGCTTGTGCCGTGCCTGAGCCTTTTCGTTACAGCTTTGTGCTGTATTTTATACAGGAATTCAACTGTATTGTTTTTGCCAAAATGCCCAAAGTTTTTAGGATCTAGAGGGGGGGCAGTGTTAACCTGAATCTTTGTTAAAAAAACAAACAAGCAGGTTGTTTGGGGACTAGTTTAAAGTAAAGAAACCATAAGTTGTTGCTTAAGCTCATCAAAGAAATAGCTACTCACTATTTCAGGTACATTTTTAAACTGATTAACACTAAATCATATACAATACTAGAGTTCCCCGATCTCATACCTTCGCCAAATGATGTTAATCTTTATGACTGACAAAGTTTAGATTAGATTATCCCCCCCTGATTTAAGAAATAGGAACCTAATTTTCATGAATTATATTGTTTTATCATAATCTCAACCAAAAGACAAAAAGTCTTATATTAACAAAGAATGCATTCTAGCATTTCCTAATAAATTATGCAAATGAGGTCCTGATTTCAATAAATTATGTTTAATGATGTTCACCTCAATTTAACTTTCAAATACCACAAGTATGAAATTCCAGGCAGTTATCATTACATAATTATAAAATTTTCTCATTAATTATGCAAATTAAGTTCTTTTTAACATGATCAATATCTTCCTGTGTTTCTCTCGTTGTCAATTACCAATGTCACAAGCTTCAATTGTCCTACCATGGAATGCAGCTGATTTATAGAATTTCCCCATAAATTATGCAAATTACATTCATATTTGCATAATTGTCACATAATTATATTAAGCATCACGTAAGCTACCTACATACCAAAAATCACGACGATCCGTCAACCGGTTCTTGAGTTATCCCCTTTTGAATATTTTCAAGAATTTATCCCTGCAGTTCCAGAGCAAGCCTCTAGGGGGCCTAAACTCACGCCACTTCTTTCCCAGCACAAGAGCTACCTACCATCTAAATTTCAATACCATAGCATGTCTAGATCATGAGATATCAAAACCGGAAGTTCAGCTGCAGTACCATAATAAGCCGCTAGGGGGTCCAAAATCTAATCATTTTGAGGTCTCATCAAGACCTACCCACCTACCAAGTATCAAGACAATCCATCAAGGCCTTCTCAAGTTATCGTGTTTACAGACAGACACACACACACACAAACACACACATACACGAACGCCCCTGAAAACATAACCTTCTTGGCGAAGGTAATAATCTCTCACCCCCAAACCACATGTTGAAAATTGACTTGTAATATATTAGGCTAATAATTAGCAGATACTAGTAAGCAATCCTGATCAGCCTTTGCTACTCAGATTGTAAACAAGTTTCACAACTTGCAAGAAAAGTCCTGGTGTGACAAATAATTAAGTTTCAGTAACAACTGTTTCTCACCTTTTCGTGATATTCAGGAACAATGGTTTTCCAATTCTTTAGTAGTTCACCAGTGTTATAAGTTATAACTTTTTGTTTTGTCCATACATTATACAAACTAAATGAACTTTGTGATCAGATTCAAGGCAGCATACAATCAGGGCACAAGCTGCTGCACTCTTTGATTTTCTACACACACACAGCTTAAATCCACATACAGAATACAAGACTGAAATCTTCATCATCTACACTTCTTAGTTCCCTGCCGTGGTGGAACTGAATATCGGCGGCCACCACTACACCACCTCCCTGGCAACGCTACGCAAGTACGAGGACTCCATGCTAGCCGCCATGTTTAGCGGTCGCCACCACCTCGTAAAAGACAAGGACGGTCGCTACTTCATTGACAGAAATGGACAGAATTTCGCGTACGTTCTGGACTTCATCCGCCACGGTGATTTACCGCCCGCCTCGCTCGCCAAGCAGGTTTATAAAGAAGCCCAGTTCTATGGTATCGAGAAGTTGAAGAACTGTTTGGAAGGGATGCAGCCGATTATCGGCGAACAGTTCCGCCAGAAGTTTATTGACTACATTCCGAACTACCGAGACAATGTCGCTTCGATGATAACCCTAGCAGTAGGGAGAGCGGACGAGGTCTTAGCCAGATTTCGTTACGGAATGATCCGGATATGTATCAGCACACAGAAGCAGGATCGAATCCCGTTTACGCGCTGCAAAGTCGAAAAGAAGGCGGATTTCAACTTCGATGTCTCGGAACAGGAGTGGTCGGCAGAGGAACTTATCCAGTGCATCGCTCGAGACGTGGAAGAAAAGGGGTACGAGATTGACTATACCTTACAGGAGTGTATTTGCGGTTGGTGCATCCCCGGGAAAAATCTGTACGACGTGCAATTCAAGCTGTGGTGAAAACAGCTAAAACTCTCCAACGGACAATTTTATTGAGTAACAAATACATTTTGTATTTTAAAGATCTATTATAGAACTCGAGAGCATTTCTTATATGAAAAACGTGTAAATTGATCATATATGATACTTAATTTTTATAAATGGTAAGGATTTTACTTCAAACAAAGCCATCAGAGTATGCTGATCTTGTGGAACGTATTGTAACAACGATACCCAGTGCAATGCTTATAAGATAAAGAAGTCAAAGTTTTAGATGTTTGTAAGTCATATTTTGGATTGAGATACTGGTAACTGCCATCAAATAAAATACACCAATAATAGTACTCCTGTTTAACTGTAAAATTTTGTTGTTTTTGTTGATTCCCTAAGGTTGAATGTGTTGAACACACAAATCTACATATCTGAAGCAACAAAAAATATGCATGCAGGATCTGTAGCCTGATTAAATCGCTTTACAGTTGCCAGCCGCCCAACATCTGTGGGGAGGGGCCACTAAAGCCGTGGACGGCAGAGTTTGCATTACACAGACTACAGAATCTGATACTGACGTTAAAGGTATATCTTTGGGGTAACAATAAACTGTTGGAGGAGTGACACAAATGTAGACGTATTGAAGAAGAACCATACCATATCTAGGTTTAAAGTTTCATGTAAATGTCATATAACTGAATGAAATTGTTGTGATCACAATTGTTAAAAGACTTGCTGGACTTGCCATCTTTTTGTGGAAAAATGAAATTGTTGGTGCAACTTGTAAGAAAAGTCTGTTAGGGACAAGAAATGTACATTGTGCATTTGAAGGTTATGAGGAGACGTAAGACTAGAAAGGTTGAATGGAGATACTTTGATCCGTTTTATCTTGAGAGAGTTGTGTAACAAATCCAACTTGAGCTGTGTTGATTGTCCTTGTCTGCAATGTTGTGAACAGATATATAAATGATGATATAGATTTACACTTTTGTATCAAATCAAGCCATCATACAGATGAGATGGTACATTGCGATTTACTGAGAATAAAATAGCTCAACATGAAGCAAGAATCTTTTCTTAATATGAGTGATATTTACTTTTACTTATTTTGTAGATCTATGTAATGATTGTTTCTCTTTTATCTTTATGGTCTCTTTGAAGTTGAACCTGTTGGAAGCTTTTAACTTTCCAGAAGTTTTGTTAATGGTCTTTTTCTTTTTTTGTTTTTTTACTTTGTCCTCCCTTCCCTAAGTTCCCTCCGGTGATCGAGCTGAACGTTGGCGGTGCCCACCATACGACAAGCCTGCGAACACTACGCAAGTATGAAGACTCCATGCTGGCCGCCATGTTCAGCGGCAGACACCACCTTACGAAGGACAAAGAGGGAAGGTATTTCGTCGACCGCAATGGGACATATTTCGGGTACATTCTAGACTTCCTTCGTAGCGAAGACCTTCCTCCGGCGGACTTGTCTCCGGAGATATACAAAGAAGCCCGTTATTTTGGCCTGGACGCCCTGTGCAACTTGCTGCGAGACGTTCCGCCGTTGTTCGGCGAACACACGGGACGACAAGAGTTCATCGCACGCTTACCTGAGTACCAGGAGAACGTAGAGAAACTTGTTCAAACAGCACGGGAGTCGGCGGTGGCAGCACGGGAGTCGAAAGCGGTGGTCTGCGTCTACAAGGCAGATTCCAACCTGGACGCAGACAACCTGCACACGTGTAGGTACCAGTGGTGTGCCAGTTTCGGCCCGTGGAACGCCACGCCTGGTATCAACGATCTCTTGGACAGCATTACCGTAGACCTGAAGGACAGGAGGTATAATGTGGAGTACGCGAGGAAGGGAGAGTGCGGCATCCAGCTTGGAGAGCTGTCGTGGCAGTCCTGTCCAAAGCAGTTCTACGAATTCACTTTCAAGTGGTGGTAGAGCTCATGAACTAGGCCTAGGAAAAAAATGTTGTCTTTCCTGTTTCATGACCGACCCTAGAAAAAAGTGCTGACCCTACCTTTCTTTTTGGGAAGACCCCTGCAAGGGACATACATTTTTTGAGCTGATTGACCATCTCTATTTTCAGGATTGAAACAGGAAGCACAACATTTTTTTCCTAGGCCCTAGTGTATTGCTAGTAATACACATGTACTGCTAGTGTATTTTTCCATTCAACTGTTGAGATTATAAAAGTAAACAAGCAATAAGAACTTGTTGAACCCGCTTGACACCCAACAAGGAGCATTTTCTTACTTTCCAAATGGCTAGTTGTCATTAATTTGACTTTCAAAGACCAGCAACCTCTTTTATCTGAGTTGAGTCATGCCTAACCTTCTCAAGTGTCTTTGTGTGTTATTGTTGTTTTTAAACGTAGATGGAACGCATACCAATTTTAAGTACCACTGTGGCCAAAGTTTACTTATGGAAACCACTTTCAGACCAGGTAATCTGGTTTCTGAAAATCCAGAATGCAGGGTCACAATGAAGCTTTGGAAAAACTGACTGTACTCTCAAGATAGGGTTAGAACATATATGTACACGTATAGATGTATAGATTTGTAATGGTTTACAAGGATATCTATATTTATAGTGTTTGTAATGTATTACCATGGAGTCTTTGCACTTCATTTGGCACAATGTATGTAGGTATGTCTACTAGTATGTTGAATAGGGAATTTCTGCAGTAGTCAATCCTATGCAATATTGTATGAGAGAGAGAGCAAAGTTACTAGTATTTTATTGTGTCCACAGCTTGTGCATACTACCAGTATGTACATGTATGTGTGCGTCAGAACTAAATATGCTTGTTTGCTACAGTGTTATTATGTGAGAATACTTAGTCTAGTCCTGATGATAATCTCAGGGAGGAAGAGCAATGTAAGATGCATAGGAGCACTGCCAGAGGTGAATTGAGAAGTTAGTTTAAGTTATTAAATTGTTGCTGGGCTTTTTAGGGGTTCCTTGTTTCATAGCGTGGTCAAATTAAAATGCTATACTGGTCCTGGGACGATAGGGGATTGTACATCCAATGGAAGTCTTCTCATACAGTCAGTTGCAGCATGTATTTGTTAGTCCACTAAGGTAACAAAGTAGATTAGGTGACAAACACCACACCCACAGAGTGCTAAGGGTTAATAAGTAGCATATTGTTACTTTCTTCTGTTGTACGTGTTGTTTTGTGTGATGTTATGTCAATAGCATTATTTCTTTACAGTGTTACTGTATTCAATCTACAATATGCTGTAACTTATTATACATTGTATGATAATTATACATGGTATACATGTTATTTTTTTTAGAATTTTTGCACAGTTGAGGCAAGAAAATTTGTACAATCATGAAATTTCAGGCACCAATTTAAAGTGTTGAATTGGGTGACTGTGTGTGTCTGGCTGGTAATACAGGGTGATCAAGAACTTGGACAAAAACAAAACTTGTCAAATGAGGTCTTAGAAAAGAAATGTGACATGTAGGACTTAGGCCACACCAATTTAATTTCTTGGTTAACGGATTTTTCTAGAAAAATAATGGAGCGGGCGGGCGAAATAAAATAATAATAAAAACAGGCCTAGGCATCCTATTATGGCCCAAAATGGTACGATAGGAGCCATGAAGTTAACACACCAGGCTGGTTCAAAATCTAAGCAATGAACTTTTAATGATACCATTGCATTGAAAGATGGAATAACTTTAACAAGTAGGATGAAAGGACTGTTTTCAACTGTTCAGGGCAAAATATCAGCATTTTGCAGTTGATTCTGAATTTTTATTTTTATTTGCAAATCAGAAAAAAATGAAGCGGGCGAATCCGTTAACCAAGAAATTAAATTGGTGTGGCCCTAGAGATATTTTCTCTTTATACTTCTCAGTCACCGACATTTTCTATCATGATAGGATATTTGTAATATACGCATTCAATTATTACTCTGGAGAAATGACAACGTCATCAATTGAAATGTACAGTAAATATTTATCATCAATAAAGTATGCTCAGCAAAGCTGATTTTCACAGATGTTGACTCATTTGTGCATGTAAATAACCCAATTGAAAAAGCATTGTGCAACATGTACTGTACTGTACATTGGCAGAGAGCAAATAATGGAAAGGTATGGAAGAGTAATGGTGAAAGAGCCAAAAACAACCTTTGGAGACAAAAAGATGATATACCGGTATCTTCTTTTCTAATGTCTACATTCTCTACAATTTATAAATCCATGTCAACCCTACTACAAAAAGTATATCCAATGCTTTTATACTTGGTTTTGCCCTTTCTTTGCACTTAACATGACTCTAAAATATGAAATATACATGCACATGTATAAGACAAGGATGTCATCCCGAAAATAGTTTCATCAGGTTTGGTTAAGTATAGGATAGAGGAGTTTTCTTTTACACAACCAAATTTTCTCACCTAAAATGCTGATGTTTCGGCTACATATACTGACGAGAAGCAGAACTCCAGTCAGAAGCTCTGAGTCTGAGGAAAGTTTCTGATAGTGAGGGTTTTTTCTAAACTGGGGAATAAGGGTAATGCTCCCTCATGTAACTGGCCAGCACCCCTATGTCAATGTTCAGATTGAACCCTAAGTGGTTACAAACACAATGTTAAGGTCTTTCTCAAAATGATCTGAAATGAAAATGTAAAAACGAAACATCATAACAATGCATTCTACAAATCATTACATTTACAGACTGCGTTACTATCGTAAAAAAATTGGTCCCTCGCCATACTAGTGTTGTGATCTGGTTCCTCATACAAAATTTTTCTAGAAAAACCCCTGATAGACATCGAAACTTCAGCACTTTAGGTGAAAATTTGGTTGTGTAAAATAAAACTCCTGTCTCCTAAGGATGTCATCCGTAGAATGGACTTCGTACTGCCCTAGTTGGCTTCCTGAGTGGTTATCTCTTGGTCAGGCTTTTCCTTCAGCGCGGCCGGGCTCTCACGTAACGTGTCGGTCCGCGACATCCTCATGAAGACCTTCATCTTCTCCAGCATGAATGGGGGGACCTGAAATCCCACCAACAGCTCCAACTGGAGACCTTCGTTGTTCCTAGGAAAAATAGAGAAGAAGCAAAGATACATAAATAATTTCTTCGGGTTGGAGAATTGTTGAAATAGTACAGTTCTTTTATTCACAACCATTTCTTTCACAATTTTATGATGATTTCTTTTACATGAGCCTACATTTCTGTGGCATACATTATATATTTGTACATGGGTATTGTTGCAACAGTGCACAGTAAACCAGTTATTAGCCCTGTTGAAGATGACAGGCGGTTATTGAAACTTAATAATAAATATCCATACCTGTATTCATCTGTCTCTGCCAGTTCCAACACATCATCCACAATGAGGAGGTAGGCCTGCATGGTACAACATAAAGGAACTGTTACATACTACATGTAGATACTTGTGCATAATATGTGTTTTTTTTAAGATGACTGCCTTTAATACTTGCTAGCTAAATGTTTGGATTTACATGTACATCATAAATATATAAAGAGCATAGCCTCAATGAAGACCAGTTTGTGTATTTGACTATGATAGACAGAGATAAGCATTTTATTATCAAAAATCCTCTCCAGAAAAAAGTACCTGAAATCTTCAACATTACAATAATTACAGTTTATGTTACAAAATATCTCAGTAGCTTGTCAACCCCCGTGTTGATATATACATTGTATGCAGCCAAGTTTGTCTACCTACCACTTTTCCTCCTGTTGCAGGCATGTGTCGATGTTCAAATAACCACTGTTTGTCTTCTGTGTCACTGGAGTACTGTGGAAATAACAGAAACCACTTCACTGTGGAACAAGCTTCCCCGTGAATGTTTCACCGCTAATTACAACCTCCAACGGTTTAAATCAAGGGTGAACAAATATCTGACCACGCAGTCATCACTGTAACCCAAAACACGTAAGTGGCTCTCACGAGCCTTGTTTTGAGGTGAATTCTGAAGTAAAAAAAAAAAAATCTCACTGTGATTCTGTTTACATCATTTAACTTTCTTACCATTCTTATAAATCAATACAGTACAACCAAAATTATCAAGAAGTGACAATTTAACTAACAAAATATTGCTGTTTTCATTATTTAACTTTCTTACCATTCTTATCAATCAATACAGTACAACCAAAATTATCAAGAAGTGACAATTTAACTAACAAAATATTGCTGTTTTCATTATTTAACTTTCTTACCATTCTTATCAATCAATACAGTACAACCAAAATTATCAAGAAGTGACAATTTAACTAACAAAATATTGCATGTGCTGAAACTATTAGCAGCAGAAGGCCACACCTTGAATAAGTCTGGGTGTTTGTAGTATAGTCTTCCTCTTGTGGCACCTAGACCCATGGCCCTGTAGAAAACAAAAACACAACATCCATCCATCCATACAATATTATAGCTACAACTATCCTAAGGCTTGAATTCCTTTTTGTAACTGGAACATGCACTTTAATTACCCAGTACCCTTACTGAGTTCTTTTTATTGAGGCTAATCTTCCAGGGCTTGGTTTCCATTAAACAGGCTGATATAAATACATTGTATGAAACAGGTGTACACATAGAGTATGATACAGATACAAAAACTTAATCTTCCAAACATGTGATGTTACCTGTTTGCCCGAGATCCCATGATGAATTTTGTTTCTGTTGTCAGTCTTTCTGGGTCCCACTGGATGGAAAAGAGATTATTTTACTTACTACAGTTAAATCATGTCATTAGAAAGATGAACAAATACAAATCAATTTTACCAAAATATGATGTACAACATGTATACGGTGGAACATGGACCACAAAGGCTTAAAACTGCTCTAAATGGTGTAGATGAGAAGATTGTTAAGATAATTTTCTCACCTTTGGTCCTTCCTTCCTGACAGGCTCCTGTTTCACAGACCTGGAGCTTCACATGGAACACAACATGTTAGTAAAAACACAGCAATAATTTGTTTTACCTACAACAGCCCAATATATGCATGTAGTACCTACACTGTACACATGGAAACACGCAATTTCATGTTATCCTCCACAGACAGTCATAATATACCAGTAAATAATTTGAGTTTTGAGGGAGCTTTTGCCATCCTTACAGCCCAGTCTCACTAAGCCTGTGAAACTTCTTGTGCTATGGGCTTACCAAATGGTGAACATACACTTATGCTGTACATCAAAACTGTTTAATTCCAACTAATATGATAAAACACATTAGAGAACAAGCATGCCACAGTTGTCACGAAAGTGTTCTGACATGCCACTTACCAGGGTTTTGTATACAAGCAGCAAGCAGCAAATAATTCAGTAAGATATTTGTTACTAGTATATTACAGCCATTCAAGCTTCTGAATGCACAAATCAAACTGCAAGATATATCCATGCACTGTATAATCGATAGTTCAAAATTGTGCTAAAAGCTTTGTAAACCTTTTCTACCGGTATTCTACATGTACATGAAGTATAAAATGCATCTACAGGGCTTTTATAAGGCAAGAAGATGCTACATGCATCAGCAAAGTAATAAAGTTAACATTCATACATCCTTTGTTGTTTTTTTTCTATCTGATGGCTGCAATTGTATCTCACTAAAAGCAATGTGCAACAGTAGAAATCAAAGTGGGAAAGATAGCTTGCTGACCAATCAGAGGGCTTGTTTTTTTAATGAAATAATAACTCAGTGGATTAATAACTACTTGAACATACCCATAAGACCTTTCACTGAACACCGGCTTGTAGATTCGAGGTCTGCCTTTTCGCTGAAAATGCAAAAGATCAAATACTGTGAATTCTGTCTGCCAACATTTTTAAAGTCAACATGCTTTCTACACACACACATACAAACACATACAAAGACACACACACACACACACACACACACACACACACACACACATAAACACAGACACACACACACACACACACACAGACACACACAGAGATACACACACACACAGACACACACACACACTCAGACACAGACACACACACACACAGACACACACACACCACACAGACACACACACACACACACACTCACTCACACACACACACACACTCACTCACACACACACACACACACACACACACAGAGCAGAGTTGTTGGAGAAGTATGGTGTCTTGCACTTTTGACACAGATTAATAATAATAATGTTGACAAGAATTGACCTACCCTTTTAAAGCGGACCACTTGTGTCACCGGTGCCCCACCATCACTACTGGACAGGGAGCGTTTAGCTTTCTGTCAACAAACATACACAAGACACACTTCATAAAATGTACTGTACAAGTGCATAAAATATACCGACCAACCAGGTTGGCTGGTCGGTAGCGACAGTGTGAATGGATGCAAACTAACCAGGATGGTACCCTGGCTAAGGGATAAAAGAACAACATTATTACCTAAGACACAAATACTTCTGACAGCCAATATACCTACTGGCGGCCAGATTTAAAATTGGAACATTGTTCTTGTAATAGTTGGACATTACCCTCAACATGCTGGCACTGCTGCTTCCCAGGGAGGCATCAAGAGGACCAAACATCTCCTTGCCACACTGTGGAATAAAAACATACGAGGAAAGAGGAGTCAGTGCATACTGATACACAACAATTAACCAAGTTTTATTCAGCTAAAGTCACCTTCCTCAGGACAAATCTGGTTCACATTGTACAGCACAGGTGTTGCTGCTATAGATGCATTCCCAAACACAAACTATTTCCATATCTACACGGTACTAGTATCTACAATGCAGTCCCCAACATTGGCTGAATAAACCTCTTTGTTGTGTACAAAAAGTCTCTTTATTCAGTGACTTACCAACCTGATTAAACTATTCACAGAAGTAATACACAATGTACTTCAAGTAAGTTGATTATATCCTTGATATATCCTGATGTCCATCCTGTCACAGAACATACTGTATTCAGCAGTGAGTCCAAACACAGTACTTACAGTGTATACCAAAAGCAAAAGGTATGTTAGGTGCAGTTCTTAACTGAAGCAATAGGTGGCATGGATGATACACTCTATGGCATCTTTGTATGCACTACACAATCTTCTACACATCTTCAGAACACACCTGTTCGAATGAGTGCCTGACAGCCGTGCGGACCAAGCGATCAGGGTCCACCTCCTCTCCACAGTTGTCTCTGCAGTTCTGGGCTCCTTTTTCAAAGAGCTGTAAAAACAGGTTTGGGTACATTGTCTTATTAGTACACTGCCTGAACCAAGGAGCTTCAAGGAATTACAACACAGTAAAGAAGACATGTCTGTATCTGTATAGCCAGTATAACCATCCTTTAGTCTACCAGCTTCTCAGCTAGCTATATTACACTGATCATGAATGACTTGTTACACCCAATCTTTGCACATCTAGCTGCAGGAGTTGTTTAAAGCTATCTTAGTATCCAGTGATGACAGAATACTAGTATGTCCAATGCTGAAATTATCCACTGTTTGGATAACAAGCAAACAAGTGTCCCTTTTTTTCCTACTTTACCTTATCCTGAGTGTCAGCCTTTTTAGCTTTCATCTGCTCCCCATGATCCACTACTGGCCAATTGTGGGGAGCGGACGTAAGCTAAAAAGGCTGACACTCAGGCTAACTTTTACCTCTTTGTAAGGTTTAATAGCCTCCACCAGGGTGTTGTTTATGTGTTTCTGCATACACTTCCTCAGGAGCTCCATGGACCCCTCTGGGGACGAAATGGTTCTGTCCATATAAAATAAAAAAATGAACACAATATCAATCAGGAGAACTCCATCAATATGGAAAAAAATAACTACCATCAAGCCCCAGCATCAGAGTGCAAGCATGTCTAACTCTCGGAACATGAGGAACAACGGACGATAAACCGGATATGTAGAGGGAGAGACAGAGAAGAAGAGAGATCATGGGGAAGAGAAGGAAGGGTGAGAGAGAGGGATGAGAGAGAGACAAGAAAGAGAAATACAGAGAGAGAGTGATGAGAGAGAGACGAGGGGGAGAGAGAGGGGAGAGAGGGAGGAGAGAGAGAGAAATAGAGCGAGAAATAGAGAGAGAGAGGGAGAAAACAAGCAATTTAGAAGATCATACCTTCCTCTGTAGTGATAGGATGTCACCTTTCTTTTTGAGGGAAAGTTCTTGTATGTGGCATCGTAAGGCTGGATCACAACATAGCCTGGTGGGGCTACAGCTGGTGAGGTCTGAGGAAAATAAGAGAAATATATAAAGTTCGTGGAGCTATCGCACTAATGGCAGCACATTTTATCAACCATACATGTAACGTATGTGATTTAACCTATTCTTCAGATTCTTCTTGGTTCAATCCATCACAAACTCATGATTAGTGGCTGCTAAATTTCTGCATTTTTTTAGTTTGATTTGAAAACAACCATACAAGTAGCAACATATATTGGAATACCAGTCTGAAACTGTTAATTGATAGGTTTGATGATTCTATAGTGGTGAAATCACCATCAAAATGGTGACCTTAAAAATACTTGTATGTGTCAAGATAGTATGTGTAAAAGTGGAATTCCATATACTGACCACAGATTTCTGCCTTTTAAGTACAGGCCTTCCCTCTGAATGATTGACGTCCGAGCTTGGGGGTGTCAGTGTGGTATTAGTGGCAGCATTGTACCTAGAAAGGCAATCAAAGGCAATCATGTATACTGACACTTACATATAATACAACTAGATTTCTTCACAGAACAGTGGTAGAGTGTCAAAGGGTGCTGAATTATATGATGAGTGTACATGTACAAAATTATGTACTTCTAAGCAAGGACATTCTTGTGATGAAAGCTTCTTGCTCTAAGTTATTACTGCTACAAAGTACTAATGAATAGTGTAGATTAATTACTTGTTTTGTGAATATTCGTCTAGCTTTTAATCATATATTCCTAGTTGTACTGCTACTGCTTTTAAGTACACTGTGTAGTGGTCTGTACTGGTCAGATCATTGATGATTATAATATTTTCTTACTTGAGCAACAAACTAGCAGACGACAAGACGACTGTTGTGTGAGAAGAAAATATTACTATTCTATGCCTTCCTGGAACAATTCTGTCAGCTATTTTTCTGAAGAAACCTTTGAACAACTTTTGTGACTTCAATAATCTACAGGTTATCGATAAGAGAAGAACCTACTGCTGTTGTTGTGCCATGTAAATACCAAGAGGGCTTCTTGGTTCCGCCATTTTTACCAACGCCTTCCTTGAACTATAAATGGATCAGACTATAAAGGAATAGGGGTGAAAGATACTATTGATGGTCAAAGTTATCTAATATCAGGAAAAATAAACCGTAAAAATAGTAAATATAAAATTAAACTGTATTTACTCTACTTTTTTATATGTAAATAAGCAGATAAGTTAAAAATCTACAGTTATATCTTTTTCTTTTCAAAATGGTCCCCCCCATATGATGGGTTCTTTGAGATTGTCCACTGTTGTTGTTGTCCTTTAGAGAGGGCGACATAACGTAAAAAGGACGGGAGTCATTTATTAAACAATACCGTGTATATGTAAATGAGAGCTTTTAGTACATCTTTATAAGGTTTATTATATATTTTTGTTTTAACAACAGATAGTTTGTACTATTTAATACAGATTATAAGTACTTAATGACTTATTGATTTCGTACTTTCTGCATTTCGTTGCCTTGAACTCCGAAGATTCCATGATGGCGGCCGGACAGTTGCCGCCGCAGTTGCGGCAAAAACTCACTTCTTTCGCCGAATTCGCCTTTCCTGCGACGCGGGCGGCTAGGGAAGGGCGAGAACACCACCAACTCAAGTCCAGTAGGTTATCCAATTGGCCCTACACCCAAACAGGATGGCCATTTTGAAGTCAATTTAGAGACCCTACCCGGAAGAGATGCACCAGCCAATGAAAATCTTTTGGGGGGCAAAACATAACGGAAGGGTCACAGTCGTGTGTCCACATGGAATATATCAAATGTCCAGCTACCTTACTTTAAAGCACCCAAATTTTCTACATTGGGAGTGAAATTGGAAGTCCATGAATACAAGGAATATGATTTTTTGTTTACAAAATGGTCTCACAAAGATTTGCCAGGGTGCATGCAGACTGTTTACAGGGCCTACACAGGCCAGTTCCTCGGCCCCAGGGCTAACATATGCGCGACCCCAAGGAAATAATGTACCACAGCCCAGCACGTTGGCAGAACGTACTGCACTTGTGCAAAACCCGTAATGTATCCTGTATAGCACTTCAGCAGAACGTCTCATATAAGGTTGCATTTGCTCATATAAAGTTAACATTCTGACAGTAACATTAGTTTTCAAATGTCATGTCGGAAAAGATATCGTCTGCAACAGGCAAAATTCTAATGCAACGTTGACCAAAAATCCAACGAAAACTGCGAAAATCCAGGGTTCTGCGCAGGCACAGTACGTTCTACCAATGTGCTCCACTGTGACCACAGCGCCCCCCTAAAACCCTGATGAAGTCTATCACGTTGTGGGTCTGGCATCCAGGCTACACAAACTTTTAAAGGCCTCCACTGTCGTCGCCTGTAGAACTGGGCAAAGCAATTCATTTTTATCGTGCGAGGAAAAAATATAGATATAAAGCCACAAAATATTTAGTTCAACATACATGTAGTTAAGCATGTTGTCTCCTGACTGGCAAAAGTTTTATAGGTTATTCTTGCATCCTATATATTGTCTCACCTATGTACTTGGAGCACGTCGGCAGAACTTACTGCGCCTGCGCAGAACCCCGTATTTTCGCGTTTTTCGTTGGATTTTTGGTCAATGTTGCATCAGAATTTTGCTTGTTGCAGAGGATATTCTTTCCGACATAACATTTGGAAACTACTGGCAAAATGCTAACCTTATATGCGCGAATACAACCTTATATGAGACGTTCTGCTGAAGTGCTATGCACAATACATTACGGGTTTCGCGCAGGTGCAGTACGTTCTGCCGACGTGCTTGTACTTGGGGTTATCCTAATTGTGATCAATCTAAGAGAAACCTGGCATAAACTAGTCATTACAAGGATGGCATCCAATCTTTGATATATTTATAATTTTTTTCTGTTTAGTTGGGAACGAGCTGGTGTCCAACCTGCCCCTGCAGATGGCCCTGTACTTCAACGTCTGCTATTTCCCATTCTGGCTCGTCACTGCCATCGTTCTTCTGCAACTAAAGGTAAGCTGAACTTAAGGAAACACATTGGTCGATTTTCCTTTAATGCCCACGATCATGATAATGATCATTCTGGCATACTCACTTAGTACTCATTTTCACCTGAGTGAAGTGCCTTTCCCAAGGGCACAATTTTGGTGACTTGGCAGGAATGGAACCCGGGACCTCTTGGTTCTGAGCCGAATTCTCTGCCGTTATGCCAGTCACAACCCCACATATATTTTGAATGTTTAAAAGTGCAAAGAATAAAGACGATATCATCAAAGGCATCTAATTTCAGGGCGGCAAAAGAAAAATAAAATATTCTGGACAAGGAAATCTGTCTGGGTATCTGATATTGACAGTTACTGCCATTTCTTAGTACATTTTCGTCATCATTTTAGTCAGAGTAACCATACCTCCAACCAAGCTATGTTTACCTTTCTCTTTACTTTTTGTCTACTGCTCTGGCGGAAAATGGTTGCTTGTTTTGTATTGTTATACAACAAAACTAGACAAAGACAAAAAAGGACCCTTTATATGCCATGAAGTCTGTTATCTTTCAAGTGATGTTAAAGTAACTGGTTATTGTGAATATTTCCCTCCAGTTTTCATCGTTGGATGAGTTCTACAAGTTCATCACTGTGACAGTGTATGTGGTGATGGTGGTTGTGGAGATAGTCAGACTGTACTTGGGTTACCTGGGAAACCTGCAAGAAAAGGTATTTAGGCCTTCTTTATTGGCCAAAAATGTTGTGGAAACTCAGTAATATCAATTTTACATTTCAGGGCTTGAAATAGTAGGTGCATGCACCTTAGTGCAGGTAAAATTGGGGCTGATGTTTACCTGCACCTAACCTGCACTGGTCCATGTACTGTTACACCTATGAGTATGGCTGAGGTACAAAAGAAATATTGACATTGATTTGTGAACAGGTTTAGTGGGATCCATTCTTCCTGAATTCTGAGTAAAAATCTGTTTGGTGCAGAAAAAATTATTTTGAGCCCTGTAGTTCTCACTCTGAACATTTTTAGTCGCTTTTAATTTAGACATCTAATTTCAAGTAAAAAGTCTTCACCAGACCTTTTCGTGGGCTGAAAAAACATGATCGGAAGATTTTGCCAAGAGTTGGCCGTCAAACCAGACAATTGATGTCTTTCTAGAAAGACTGTCTAGTCCAAAAATACCTGCTGTTGACGTTCTGCGAAACCAGCTGTGGAAAGACGTGCTGGCTGGTACACAGACTAGTACTGTAGAGGGCCTGCATGCACTTTTTCATAAGGCGTAATCAGGCCTTTTTAGTCTTCGTAATCTGTAGGCAGCTGCCCAAAATCATTGTAATCTTGTAATCAATACTGTACATTAGCTGTAACGCGTAAATGTTCGTAAACAGCTCTGAAAATTTAACGTAATTCGTGGTAAAAATTTTGCGTAAGTCGTAATCACTATCCCCCCATGCAGGCCCTCTCTGTAAAGTGAGACAGATGATTCAATGAACTCTGAGAAGAACTGTGCCAAATGTGACGAACACCGACTGAATCTGCCGCCTTACTGCAGGCACATCTTGTACCTGGTCATTGACCCAGAGTTAAAAACTTTGTTAGTTTTACAGTCAAAAATATGCCCCTGGACTTTCTACTTGGTCATTGACCCTGGCTAAGTGTTGAAAACTTTGTTAGTTTTACAGTCAAAAATATGCCCCTGGACTTTCTACTTCGTCATTGACTCAGTGTTGAAAACTTTGTTAGTTTTACAGTCAAAAATATGCCCCTGGACTTTCTACTTCGTCATTGACTCAGTGTTGAAAACTTTGTTAGTTTTACAGTCAAAAATATGCCCCTGGACTTTCTACTTGGTCATTGACTCAGTGTTGAAAACTTTGTTGGTTTAGTCAAAAATATGCCCCTGGGCTTTCTACTTCGTCATTGACTCAGTGTTGAAAACTTTGTTAGTTTTACAGTCAAAAATATGCCCCTGGACTTTCTACTTCGTCATTGACTCAGTGTTGAAAACTTTGTTAGTTTTACAGTCAAAAATATGCCCCTGGACTTTCTACTTGGTCATTGACTCAGTGTTGAAAACTTTGTTGGTTTAGTCAAAAATATGCCCCTGGACTTTCTACTTGGTCATTGACTCAGTGTTGAAAACTTTGTTAGTTTTACAGTCAAAAATATGCCCCTGGACTTTCTACTTGGTCATTGATCGATCAGTGTTGAAAACTTTGTTAATTTTACAGTCAAAAATATGCCCCTGGACTTTCTACTTGGTCATTGACTCAGTGTTGAAAACTTTGTCAGTTTTACAGTCAAAAATATGCCCCTGGACTTTCCCTAGATTGCGAGCACTCTCCCTCCCTGCATGTGTCTGATCATGAACCTGGACTGACGGAAAAAATTATAGCTGGCTAGTATAGCCCTGTGCACGTATGGTACTATTGGTCATTGACCCAGGTTTAAAAAGTCTGTGAGTGTTTGAAACGAATGCTCATCTGTGTTGGTAGAATCCATAATTTGTAGAGTTTGAACTTTGTTCCAACTCAAGAATAGCCTGGTTACCAAACCTATTTTAGATCCTAGAGTCCTACATCTGCTATTTGCAAATAGGAGCTAAAACTAGAAAGGCCAATATTTGCTTTGGAGCAAATACAGCGATGGGTTCACCACATTTTACCACATGGCAGGGAAAGAATGAGAAACACAAGGAAACACAATGATTTACCAGGGTTCTAGGTAGGATTTTATTTTAGCGTAGTGGTACCTGACGCACGTCGAGGGAGCGAAGCGACCGAGAGGGGGGATGGGGCGGAAGGGGGGCACATCGGTGCGGAGCTTTTAAAAATTTAAGCTTAAAAAGCAGCCATTTGAGGGATACCCAAAGGGAAAAAATGTCATTTCTAAGGTATGTACAGTGTATCCTTGATTAGTAATTGTTATATTTTTGCAGCTTGGAATCTTCACAAAATACAGAAGATACTCCAAATCAGACACAACCAAGAACAGACTCTGAGATAAATTAAATGTTAAACATAGCATCTGGTGTGCAAAGTTGTAATATTCTACATGCAAAAAAAGTAACTATAAATAATATAAGAAATACGTCTGTTTTGCCTGCTAATAGTGTCTCATTATGAGGCACTTTTAATCTCCTTTGTGCCATTTCTGTTCTGCAAAACTGGGCCGAAATTTGACGTGATTCAACACGCGGCTTTGTTGTTATTGCCAAGCTTTGATGCTGACATGATTACAGGCACACCCAGTATGTCGACATAGATCGCACAGTAGCTAAGAGCATGAAATCGGCATGGCACCAGCACTGACGCATATGTGGCAGGAAAACCCACGTGTGTCACAAAGATCACAAACGCCCGTAAAGAAAAACCGCAAAAATTTGACAAGAGAGCAATAATTTGTATTTACTTGTTTAAACTATGAACGGATCCAAGGGGTGAACTCCCTTGTTTAGTTTACTAAAGTGGCAAATTTTCAACCAACGCAAGTTTGCCGCTGTGGGCTTTAGAGGCCCCTCCCCTTTTCGGGAGCCGGCTGGAACTGTAAAGCACTTTAATTATTAGGCTGGTGACTAAGTACATTGTAATTCTTTGTATTTTTTTCACCTTGGCAAGATATAGAATTAATGCAATTTAGTGGAAGGTGTTTATGTCCAGAGTTACAAGGAGAGATCTGTTGAACACGGGAGGAAACATATTTGTGCTACATACATCGTGGCGTGGGAATTGTTAAATAGGCCAGCCCATATATGGCGTCCCAGAGGGAAAGCCGACACTATGAAGGGGGCGGAATATCCCTTCTACAGACTGGGCTAGACACCCTGACGCCAGTGTCTGGGCGTCAAGAGACTGCCGCTGTCACTCACAGAAGGGCGGCCACGTGCGTTACTTTGCTAAAAAAACATTTTTCACATTTGATCTGGCATTTTTGAACAAAGAAATGCAGTCACAATGCCACTACGTTGTACTGAAAATTAGCGTAGCGGGGGGAAAATTGGCGTAGCGGGTCAAAATTTTAGCGTCGCGGGCCCCGACGCTACTTAGCGCTAGCTAGAACCCTGTTTACATTGATATAACTATAATATGAAGTAACATACAATTAAAACAACAGTTGGATAGCTATTCCCTACTTTATTGGTTAGGATTTTTAATTGCATAATGCAAACTGTTGATTTTCAAAATAAATAAAAAACGTTCATGCCCCGCATTCCAATGCTGGAGCAGAAAAGCTTGAAATACCTACCAAAACACTTGAATAAAGACATACTGTCAGTATGGAAATGCTCTGTGCAGGTGTTAATCAAGTTAAATCCCAACAGCCAATCAGCAAGAAATGCTCTGTGCAGGTGGAAATGCTCTGTGCGGGTGTTAATCAAGTTAAATCCCAACAGCCAATCAGCAAGAAGTATAGAGGAAAGCTGCATGCCTATTGGTTGATGCTCTGCATTCCATTGTGATGACTCATGCCCAGACGTGGTAAACACGGCACACTAACACAGTAATACATTTGCTGTAACACAGCCAAAAAACTCAAATAAAACCATTCTAAAAGCCTGTATCACAAAAATTTAAAAAACGCCTAGGGGTATTTGCCCACTGTACCTCCATACCAAATTTCAGGACCTTAGGCCCTAAAATGAAGAAGCTGAATCCATTTAAAGATATGGCAGGAGGAGGAGGAGGAGGAGAAGGAGGAGGAGGAGAAGAAACATCAGAAAAAGCAATATGGGTTCATCACCACTTCGTGGTGTGGTGAACCCATAATAAGTTTGGTAACTAGGCTAACACGAAAAAGGAACTCACCATAAATTTTTGGTTGATTTTGTCAAACTTTGTCATATGTATGATACGCTCGCTGACTCTCCGGAAGCGTGATGACGTCAGGAGTGAATTGGAAGTGGGGGAAAGACGTCATCACGCTTCCAACTTCCGGTGAGTCAGCGATTGGATCATACACTGGAGTCGTGTGGCGTATCGGTAGTGTTTGCCTCCGAACAAAGAGGTCCTGGGTTCGAGTCCTGACATGCCACCGATCTTGTGCCCTTGGGAACTTGGCAAATTGTGAACAGTGAAAATGAGTATGTCTGTTGTCCGTGCATTTGTCTGCGTTGGTGACAGCATAGAAATAAGTTTGAAAAACTTAATTGAGTGTGCTGTCGCTGTGTTCATGTATTGTGATAAATGTCAGAATAGAAAAAAAAATACATTGGACGAGGGTTGACAAGATTGACCGAAAATTTATGGCTAGTTCCTTTCTTGTGTTGGAACAAAGTTTACTCTACAACTAAAATTTGTCAGCTTCACAATCAAACCTGCCCAAGGCGACCACCCAGGGAACCAAAGAAAATTGGTCGCCTTGGACAAGTGGATTGACTCACAACATGATTAAGACACCCTGATTTTTTCACGGTACTTTTTTTATATTCGTGGTTTTCACGGTCACTTTTCTACCATGAACTTATCATTACAATGTTAAAACAATCTCTGATTTCCTTTTCTCTACTAGTACATGGGCTGCGACGTCGACCACAAACATGTACTAGTAGTTCTGTGACATTTTTCTCAGACCGCTTTTGCTACCGCAAACATAAAGTTAATTACAGTAGCTTTAGAGAAGCTAGACAAGTGCACAGAACGATTACTGTAACAGATGTGATGTCTGGTGTCAGCAGGTTATATTATCGATCGTGCACTTGCTTCCGTTTGACATTCTAGATCGCGTCTTCATGCTTACTACTTCTGTCAACTGTCTACGAATGTAAAAAAGGTTTATCTACCTTGGCATGCATCGGCAGACTTCAGCAGATTTCGATCTTTAGTCTCCGTCTGTGTGTGTCTATTCTAGCAAAACTTGATCTTTTGTTTAAGTTTTTCATGGATCGTTTTTTTAATGTTCAAGTTCCTGAGACAGTCAAACCGTGTTTCACATCTGGAAAATGAATTCTCCCGCTCCCTCCGTGGCCACTATGGTTGTTGGCTCCTACTACATGTACGTCACTGCTTCTATGGTTTATTTGCATTTTGGCAAACTTGAGAGATGGCACATGTCTTGTGTAAACTCAGTGATAGTCTGAGAATATCTGTTTTTCTGCGAAAAAACAGATGTCTGGAGATATGCTGGTGGTTTTACAGACTGTCTGCTGAATCAGTGAAGTTTGAGAGAAACTCTTTAATATGTAAAGACTATGCAGGGCTAGTGTATGTTGCATAATTACACTAATAAAACTTACTGACAATAAGAAACTAATAATTATGTTTAGCAATTGCAAGAATACTATACTTCATATCACTACAGTTACAACCAAAGGGCTGAATTGATGCCGTGACATTACTACATGTAGTACACAATTCAGCGGTTGAGAAAAAAAAAATACATGTAGTTTTTGAAACAGTTTTTAGTATGTTCCATGCTTCTTAAATTCTGAGTGGCCCGGGTAAAATTTGTCTGGTGCAGGTAATTTTCTATGTTAACTGCACCAGTGCAGGTATGCAGAAAAAAAAGTATTTCGAGCCCTCAACATTTCTTGAAGATTCAAACATTTGAACCATGTACAGAATGACACATGGTTTTACATGTACAAAGGTTCATTTCAGCACATAGGAATTCATCCAAATTGTTGACGCAGGTGTAACTGTTTTTTGTGTATTCATTTGTTTGTTTGTTGTTTAAACCATTATTTTGTTGTCTGACAGGTCCCGGAGTTGGCTGGGTTCTGACTGCATTTTACAAGACCAGCATCATCACTTCTAAATTCTCTGAAGAATCCGTCGCTGTAGTTTCAAACTTCAAACAAGATCAGGCCTGCCATTCTGTCATGTAAATACACACCGCATATTCTTAGCTCTGATTATTTCTGACAGGTCCTGGATCCGGAGCTGGCTGGGTTCTGGCTGCATTGCCACAGTAGTTTCAAACTTCAAACAAGATCAGGTGCCATTTTGTCATACATACATGTACATTTGTAAATTGTATATATGCACCACATATTCTTAGCTCTGATTACTCTATTTCCGACAGGTTTCGGAGCTGGCAGGGTTCTGGCTGCTGACCATCGTGCTCCAGTTTCCTCTCAGTTTCTTCATCCTCTTCATCGAAGCCACCGTGATCCTGCCGCTTTTTGCTTGTTTGTTTGTTTGTTTGTTTAAACTGTTATTTTGTTGTCTGACAGGTCCCGGAGCTGGCAGGGTTCTGGCTGCTGACCATCGTGCTTCAGTTTCCCCTCAGTTTCTTCATCCTCTTCAACGAGGTGACCGTGATCCTCCCGCTTTTTGCTTGTTTGTTTGTTTAAACCATTATTTTGTTGTCTAATAGGTCCCAGAGCTGTCTGGGTTCTGGCTGCGTTTTACAAGACCAGCATCATCACTTCTAAATTCTCTTAAGCATCCGCCGCTGTAGTTTCAAACTTCAAACAAGATTAGGTGCCATTTTGTCATACATACATGTATATACACCGCATATTCTTACCTCTGATTATTTCCGACAGGTCCCGGAGCTGGCTGGGTTCTGGCTGTGTTTTACAAGACCAGCGTCATCACTTCTAAATTCTCTGAAGAATCTGCCTCTGTAGTTTCAAACTTCAAACAAGTTCAGGCCTGCCATTCTGTCATGCAAATAAATTCTGCGTATTCTTATTAATTACCGGTAGCTCTGATTATTTCCGACAGGTCCCAGAGTTGGCTGGGTTCTGGCTGCTGACCATCGTGCTGCAGTTTCCTCTCAGTTTCTTCATCCTCTTCAACGAGGCGACCGTGATCCTGCCGCTTTTTGCCTGTTTGTTTGTTTGTTTGTTTGTTTAAACCATTATTTTGTTGTCTGACAGGTCCCGGAGCTGGCAGGGTTCTGGCTGCTGACCATCGTGCTGCAGTTTCCCCTCAGTTTCTTCATCCTCTTCAACGAGGCCACCGTGATCCTGCCGCTGGAACGCGCCATTCATATCGTCATGGCGATGTTCGTTCTGTTCGAGGTCAGATTCAGATTTATTGAATACTGTACTTCCTGATTTTTTCACTGTACTTTTATGTTCACTGTTTTCACTGTCACTTCTGTACAATGAACTTATCATTACAAATGTACAGTTAACAAATAATTCCTGGACTTTCTTTTTCCTGCACCTGTCACCACTGTGAACATATAGTTCCACGAACATGTCCATTTTTCTCAGACCATGAAAATAAAACAGTATCGTCTGGCATGTCACAATGAAGTGCATGAAATATGTCGAGTATTTACAACATGTGCTCATTATTACAAATAGATAAAGTTAGCATAAAATCCTAGATATATCTGCATCGTTAGTGGTAAAATACAGCACAAAACTTGGTGAGGACAACTTGTAAAGGTGCGTATGCACCTGTTTTGCCCTCCTTTTCACTTTGTGGAAAATTCAAATGAAGAAATAAACAATGAATACAACAGCTTAAACATTCTAGAATATGTATTAACAGAGATGAATAACATCATAAAACCACTATATATATATATATATATATATATATATA